TAATTTAAAAACTCATAATTAATATAATCTTTTCTCAGGGATTAATTATTTCTTCAAAGCCGAGAGGCAGTTGATAAGTTAGCCTAGAGTTTTATTATAGGTTAAAATTGGATGATCAAACTTTTCAAAATATTCTATTTTTTGTTTAAAAAATATTATCGAATTTGTTTCCTACTTATACGAAAATCCTTTTTAAAACTTAAAACTTAATTTTAAGACATGATTAATTATAATTCAATAAATGAATTCTCTTGGTAAAATATTTACAACAATAATGGATGTAGCTGTAAGTTTCGGTGTGAGTTATATTACTCAATATACGCAGTATATTCTGCGCCCTTTGAGCTATGTAGCACACCGGTGGGTCCTAGTTCATCAAAAATTTGATTAGTCCATGAATTACTTATACGGTTCTGTCCAAAAAAACTTTCTCCTGCTGGCAGTTTGTTAGTAGTTGAGTCCAGAATCTCTACGTGCCGTTTTGCTTCATACTACCTTCTTCAAATGCCCTTTCGGTCTGCAGTGTCCTGGCAAGAATCCTCTTAGGATTCGGAGTTTTTCCTCCTTCCTTCTACAATTTGTTAATTGTCTAACATACTCATTTATAGTACCACTTACTTAGTAAAGGCTCTGGACATATCAACGTATATCGGTCAGCGCTCTCGTTGGTCTCTACACATGTCCTACACATGTGGGTGACCCAGCAGTGGGTGACAATCTATATTAAAAAAACAATCAAACTTCATATTTACTAAAAGTAGAAACAAGCATTATAAACAGGCAATTATAAACTTTATCTAAATCAGCTTTTTTGTCTTTTTTATGAGGGTTCGCCACAGGAGAGGTCGTATCAACCTTCATTGCGCCGGTGGTTTTGAAAAAAAGCTCATTTGTGAGTATGTCGTGTTCGAATGAAGGGCCGCAGGATTCGAACCCGAGACCTTTACCTTACAGTGAAGAGCGCTGTGTCAACGTCTTAACCGTTGCAGCCTCCGACGCCCAAAATGAAATTATTATTTTACACGAACTATACGTACCGAAATTAACATTAATGACAAAGTACCAACTTTTTTTAACTCACGACCGAAACAATTACCAATAATCTCCCACAAACTTGATTCTGATACACCCTTAGATGGATAATAGGTAATAATCAAGTTTGATAGTAGAAAGTAGGTAAAGACAGGAAACAGATGGACGATAGGCTGTGGTTACTGACTGACTGTCTTTCGAAAAGAGCTAGCTTGCCTCACAAGAATTCCCCAACCTAGAGATTCTACTTGTGATTTCCCACCTCAACCACTCTTCGTGTCGTTGGGATGATGCCCGTGGCTGACATCACCAGGGGAACGTCTCCACACAATATTTTTGGTGTTTCATACTGTTTGTTACATCTATTTGTTAGATGTTTCCACTGATTTCTAATAAATCAGAACGCCGTTTTTCCTGTTTTCAAGATTTTTACGTACCTTCCAGTCGAACATCAAGCCTGACCATTTACATTGTATGTTTGCTTAGCATGTACCTAATTCTCGGAAACATGTTTGGGTAACTTTCAACGTTTTCATAAAATCGATAAAAAATGTCTTTAATTAACCGGCATTTTCACGTTCTTTTTTCTCAATATTTACTGTAAATTAGTTTCCATTTTTGTTGTTTAATCTTGTATTGGTTTAAACAAAAATGTATAAATTATTTGCACAATTTGATGTATTTCAGTTTGTAAATACTAGTTTCGTACGATTTTTTCGTGTTTTTTAATTTTAAGTGTTTGTGTTATACTTATAGAGATTTTTATTCTTCCTGTGTTAGATTGTGCTAGCTAATTTTAAAGCTAAGCTATTTTTAACATACTATAAATTGGGCCACATACCATTGAGTTGTAGATTCTGTTTCTTTGAATTTTAATTTGCCAAAAATAATAATTGTTCTTTTTAATGGGTGGTGATTAGAAACCTTTAATCGATAATTATTTAGAAAACGTGAGATGCGGTCTGGTGTGATGTATGTTTCAGAAAAACATTTTCTTTATCCTGCCAACGTTTCGATCTTTATTGAGATCATCTTCAGGGCTCAAAGTATGGGCACGACATGCAAGAATGGCACAACACAGAAGACAAACACTGTGAGCTCTAAAGATGATCTCAATAAAGATCGAAACGTTGGCACGATAAAGAAAATGTTTTTCTGAAACCAACATCACACCAGATCGCTTCTCACGATTTCTAAATAATTAATTCTTTTTAATGATTTTAATTGTTCTTTTTTAATTTTAATGATGGTTTTGAAGTCTACCATGAACATCGTTTTAGTTTTTGGTGTAATTCAGCTTCAAGAACGATCTTCGGAATGCTAGTTGCTCCTCAAAATCCAAATCATGAAGAATGGAAAAGAATTATTCATACGGGGAAAAGTGGATTCACTAGAGGACGTTATCGCAATAAAATAAACAAGAAAAGTGATGAAAATTTTACTAACCTTTTAGAAAAATTGAAAACTGTTCGTTTTGCAATGTATTACTTTTTATTATTTTCTTTCTACCCTATAAAGTACAAATATAGTACAAAATAGAAAGTAGTATATAGTACAAATGTGATCACAATTTTTTTCATACGGTCATCACACAACTACCGTCAGTGCCACCCAGGGGATAAACGCTATGAAAAGCCAGCCAATATTAACAAAGAAACTAGGAGGTCTCGAGGTCGATTAAGGTGACGTGACAATTTCTCGGGATGGGAATGCGTATATATAGCTCGAGCAGTAGGATTAGGATGGATCGAGATGGTGTGAAACTTCTGGAATCAGGGAACGGATCATTTCGTTGACAAAAAGAATACTGATGTGATAGTGGAAAGTGAGGTTGCTGGCGTAATGGAGTTTGGCTATTTACCTGTAGACTTTTGGTCGGAAGTACTGGATACACTGGATGTTGGATGGCTTGACAGTACCTCACATTTCCACTCCGTATGATTGAAGTGGTCGAAGTAAAATCTTGTATAAGTTTAGTTTTGACGGTCAAAACACATATCGTTTCTAGAAGTCTTGATAGTCTAAGTTTTATTAAGTTGTCTCTTAAGACTTGTGTGGGGATTTTAAGTCAATCCTATTACCATCATCGCCACCTTTCCCGATGTCTTGTTCTCCATTTTTCGCACCAGCCTTCGATAACCTCGAAGACGAAAATGAGGTCTGGTCCGGGAAGGTGGCCATGAAGGTGCATGTCAGCAGTATAAATTATATAAACGGTAGACCTAAAAATGCTCCCTTGTGAGACTGTCTGACTTCCGAGAACTCGTTGCCGCACCTAACTCTAAAGCAGCGGTCGGTTAGATAGTGACCAAGTGATACCAAGTATTTTTACTACCGACTCTCCACTTTCGATACAAGTACTGGTATCAAGTACTTTCTTTGGTATCGGAAAAAATACTCGAATGGAAAATCGTTAAAATGGAACCAAAGTTCTTAAAAAAATACCCGGATAAAAACTGAACTATAATAGAGCAATAATTTCGTTGAGAGGTTTGTTTCGGAACACTGGTTGTACAAGGTTCCATCCTCCATGGTCACCTCTATCACTTCAATGCCTCGTCTGAAAAATTGTGCTCAATAATATATTATATTATATATATATATATATTTCTTTTCTAATTTTTATTTAATTTTTTAATTTAAAAGTTCGGGAAAGGAATCGCTTACTTAAAACAACTCCAAGTTTTGCTTGGGCTGTTTGAATTTGTCACAAAACAAACTTCTGGAGAGGAATATTGCCCGCTCTCAACAGTAATTCAACATAATGATTACTGAGCTGCAAGCCGTGACAATTGACCGATACCAGAACTTTATGAAATAAAAGAAGCGCTTTTAATGGATACCCGGGCAAGATTTTCAACTTTAGAGGAAAAAACAACACCGTTATTTCAACCATTTCGAACTCATGGTTCAAGAATAGTCATTTAGCCAAACCAGCAGCTTGCGCAAATGATATGAGCATCATAGGAATGTGACAAGAGCGGGAGGACCACATCAACATCCTCAAACGATGATAGGTCATCATCGACCTACGACTTCTGGTAGTCCTACAAGCAAAAGGAAAATGTACATTGGCTGAAGAGTAAAAAGTGGTCAAGTTTGAAGGATTAGCTCTCGTTATACCTCAACAACAGATCATTTTCTCTAAAAAATGATCTGCTAAAGTAATGGGAGGAGAATAAAAATATTTTCCCTGGTCTTTATGGACAAGTAAGGGTTGTTTTAATGACTTCTGTGACTGAGTGAGCGACTCTTCTCCAAAACTCAAAAATTTTGTGTAATAAAAGAAACAGGTTGTCCCCAATATATGTTAATGACCTTTTGTTTCTTCATAGTGTAGGAGAGGAATATTAGGATATTTCCCAAGCCCCAAAATAAAAATATTAAGTTGTATGTAATAGTCTACAATTAATTAAGGTTTTTAGTTCAAGTAAAAAAATGGCACGAGCAGGATTCGAACCCACGATCTTCGGCTTGATACACCACTGCTCTACCACCTGAGCTATCGTGACCTCACGAAGTCACAACCAATCGCTCCAAATGTTCAAATGTTATTTGCTAAGTTTTTAATTAGATACTCATCAGTATCGAATATTTTCTTTAGATCCTTGAATAGGATTTAATAGTTCTTTTTATACCAGCGTAGTATCAAATATTCTTTAGTATCGCACGTTTCTAGATAGGATTTCAGGATAAGATAATAAACTGGGTAGAAAGCGTTTATGCTAAAGCATACTCGGGTACTAGACTCTATCAAAAGCCTGTGCTTCATCTAGGAACGCATCCAAACAAAACCCTTTATTCTCTGGAGTCTTATTTAATCTTAGTTTAATCTATTTAAATCTTTTTCAGCTGTTTTAAGTAATAACTTTTTGTGCTAAAACTGGCAATTAACTGAATGAAAACAATGTTTTAGCATGTCTTACTCAGTAGAGCGCATGAATAATTTGAATGATTTGTCTTTTCAGAGATCTCCTCCCGTTGCCACAGTTGACCCCAGAAGGTTTGAAATGCTTCCTGTATCGCCTGGCGGACCCGAACCCGGACAAGTTCGTGTTCAACGAGTACGCCAAGTGTTTCTTCCTCGTCGGTGACACCCGAGTCAAGACGGAGACGGTCATACCAAAAGGGGAGATCATAATATTCGACATGAAGGGCTACTCTCTTAGGCATCTTACAAAGCTCCATTTCCCATCGCTTAGGAAATACATGCAATACACTCAGGTAAGGGAATATCGGCAATTCGCCTCTTCTCCTCGCTTTACATCGCCCCCCATCGGAAACCAATATTAGATAATAGAGCCCTTTTGATGGATACGGCCTTAGTTTTACACTCGGGAGCTTTCATTACCTCCAATAACATTCCAATTCCCATTGGGAACAGTCAAAAAAGTCATTCCGGGTAAACCAAGCGTAAATAATTTCGTTACACACGTTCTTTCACATGATTGTAAGTGTCGTTATTCTTTCCAGCGCGTCTTCGCAGAAAAAAGAAAAATAATCGGTTGTTCATAATTCTATTGGCTAAATGTGTGAAGACTGTTTGAATACAAAAAGACAATTAAAAAATATATCATTGTTTTTCTTATTTCTCACAATCACAATTTTTTTCTGACAGTTTATCATTTAATGTCATTATTATTACCCAGCAATCTTGATAATTCCAAGTAACTCGGTTAAAAGACGAATTATACAGATCTCGTCTCACCCACTTTATTGACCCGGCTTTTTAGATTACCACTTCTTTTGAAAAATGGCTCCTTTCCTTAAAGAAAAACAGTTGCACTAATGAAAAATTTAAATACTGGAATAGTTGAAGTTTCTAACAATAAATCCAAAGAATTATGGAGCCCTAAATCTTAAATCCAGTTTTTTTATTCATGATTTTTTGAAAATTAAATTTTCGGGAAAACTATTTAGTTAAGCAAGTAATACTTGTATCATTTCTCAGGTCATAATTTAATTAATTTAACTAAAACTATAAATAATGATATGAAAGTTATTAATTTTTGGTTAAACTAAAACTTTCGACTTTTAAACACAAAGAATGTAATGTATTACAGTTTTAATTTAAAAAGATAATAAATACTAATAATTTATAATTTTCTTTTCATACTTGTGATGATAATGATGAGTGTTCTTGCTTGCCAACTCTTTTACTTACAGTGTTAAATATCTTGGTATGACATTGAACTCAAATTTGAGATTTAATTTACATATTGATTCATTGGTATCCCGTCTGAGAAAGCTCTTTTATAAATTTAGAATTTTACTGAACTTTATGAAAATGGCACTCTTAATGGCAATATATTTTTTTCTTAGACAATCCATAAGAGCCTATGGTATTGTTTCCTTTGGGGGGGGGGGTTACTAATAAATGCTGCACTAAAACTCTAGATGTAGTTAAACTCACTTCTTAAAATTATTTTACGTAAACCGTACAGATATAATACGAAAAAATTATTTAGTGAATTTAAAGTAATTAATTTATATTAACTTTTTCTTAAATGTTCATTTTTCTAAATATATAAAAATATTTTTTTAACTAGTTACATCAGTGAATATAACAGAAAACACAATTCATTGGCTAACTCACATTTTTACAATGTAAAGACTACGCAGTATTATAATTTTTGTGGAGATCGTGAGATGCGGTCTGGTGTGACATAGGTTTTAGAAAACATTTTCTTTATCGTGCTAACGTTTCGATCTTTATTGAGATCATCTTCAGGGCTCAAAGTGTTTTGTTTTTTGTGTAGATATGTCATTTGTGGCACAAATAAATACTTTGAGCCCTGAAGATGATCTCAATAAAGATCGAAACGTTCGTACGATAAAGAAAATGTTTTTCTAAAACCTACGTCACACCAGACCGCGTCTCACGATCTCTAAATAATCATTGGCTAACGATCACTAACAACCACACATTATAATTGTTCATTAAATATGCCACTTCGTTTTTTCTTTTTTTTAATAAAGGGATGATCATTATTTCAAATTTCAAAAACTACAAAGAAGGAAAAAAATTTATCATTTCAAAACTTTTAAATTGTAGAAAAGAAATTTTAAAGTCAAGATTTAATTTGGTTGTTTGATTTTTCATACTACACATTTGTTCTGTTTTATATTTGTTTATTTGTATGTTTTTTCATATGCTTTTGTAAAGATATATTCTGTTTATTTTTCTGCGGATCTCGAAAAACACTTACTGTCTAATACAAGCTTTGCTTTGTGACAGCAAGCAGGATTGTACTAGAATTTGTTTGTTTTTTTTTGCAAATTTATATGTAATGTACATTCTTGCAAATAAAGATTTATTATTATTATTATACAATCGCCTAAATCGAGTTTAAAGGTTTACAAAATTAAACTTTTTTTCACTCGCCCAAAAGATAATGTCAATAAAATGCTGACCTAACTTGGAAATAGGATAAGAAAGAAATATTTGAACGACCGTTAGAAAGAGACCGCCGCTTATCTGGCATCAGGATTTAAAGAAAATTTACTACAAATATATATACTTTATCTATTGTAAATATGTTCTGTTTAAATTGAAAATTGCATCATCTGAGTCAACCTAAAACTAAGTGTTTGTAAGAAAATTACATATAAATAAATCAGTTTAATACACGGTTATGAATAAAATAAAATACACAATCATTAAACTGTAATTGTGTAAAGTTTGAACGATTTGATGATGATAGATTTTCATAAGAGTTCTACTTTCTTTTTACTTTTTGTAAATGTTGGTTCTACTCACAGAATTTGTTGTTTAAAACTATCTGGGTTTCGAGCATTTAACGCACATCGTCAGGCTGAATAAAATGCAAACACGTCTCTCGACCAATCCACCGCCAACGCCAGTTCAAATGAGGAGCTGGTTTTAATGCTGCTCAATGTTGGAAGTGCGAAAAACATAAAATAAGTGGATTCTGAGGAGTTTAAAATGTTTAAAAATTTTGGTTGTCATCTTGGTTTGCTTATTCTCGTTCTATTTGATTCGTTCCAATTGTTTCTGGAGACGAGATGATATTTTCGTCGTCTCCTTATATAAATATTTCCAATGGAGGTTGGTTTAGCATTGTTACTAGTTTGAGCAGTTTTGTACTTGGTGACTGTACTGGTTTCCTGCTGATAGGAATCAGATAAAGCGAGAATATGATGAGCAGGATTAGCAACAACAGAAAACGTTTGAACATTTGTCAATGTCTCACCTACCAAAAATATTTTATACTGAGCCAAATTTATCTAAAATTAACAAGCACTATAATTGAATTGTAAGACAGTTAAGGCTGATATAGTTGTAAACCTTTTTAAAAATCTATTGCATGAACAGCTTATTGACAGTTTGTACGCTGTATTTTATGTACCCGTGACTTATGTGTAAAATCATCAGTTCATCACTATTTGCAGATAACCGGACAGGTTCAGAACATTCTTAGATTATGATCATTAGATTCTATATTAAAAATTAAACGCGCAAAATTAATTGCAACATTTTCTGTTCCAAATTGGCAATAGGTCAGAACATGTAAATTTTTCATCCGTGGATCGATAATCAATGCAAGCGCTTTGTGTCCGCTTCCTTTCATGCCGGCGTACCCTCGAGTTGATTTCAGAACTGTTTTGTTTGTAATGGAAAAACGTAGAAAAGGTTGCGGTTTATTTCCAGTCCCTTTCAAATATCGGAAACGCTGCTTGTTATTCTTCAAAAATGTAACAAAGGTTTCGATCGATTGATTAAAAAAATAACGTGTTTACATTGGTTCAGATGTCTTTGAAAGATAGTTAATTGCTAAGGATAGTTATTATGTAAGCTTTTGTCTTATTTTTATGAAATGCCATTTTATCTTGATTCTGGAATTTATTTCTTACATTATCACAAAGTTTGTTATTGCAAACTGAAAATGTTCACCTAAACGACGAAATTTGGCTAACGAGACTGGCTATATTCCACCATAATATTTTTATTATACCTAGTCATTCATTACATGTTGATTAATTAGTCAACAAGCTTCCAAAGTTGGTAGGTTCTTAATAATAATTCATTTTTTACTGTTTATTTTAAACCTGTATTATTTGTATTGTAGATTATTGAACATATACTGCAGCATGGAATTTTATTTTCTAAAAAAAATTTATGACTTCATGATATGAGTCCTCTTCAGAGTTAATTTACAATGTTTGGAAGTCCACTAGATAGACAACACTAAACCCCAGAACATGAGGTCGACAACGCTTTGGTAAAAAATAAAAATCCATGCTGCAGTATATCTTCAATAACATACAATACAAAAATGGGTAGATTTTGGTTGAAATCTGTCTTTGCAAGTGGTTTATGAAACTTCATGTAACTATTTCCGATACCGTTTAAACTGTATTTTTTTCAACCGGTGGGGGGGGTGTTTTGGAGAGAAAAAACCTATTTGTAAATATGTTGGGTTAGAATACAGGTCGCTGGAATCGAACCCGGGACCTTTGCCTAAACTGAGCGTCGTTTCAACGCCTTAATCGGGCGGTCACCTTGTACCTTGTAAAATTATTATGCTAAAAATTCACTTTAAATTTCATAACTTAGGAAAAATCTTAAGCAAGTCATAAAAAAGTATGTACACTGATGGACGAAATAGTCGCACTACCCTTAAATTGTAATGTATTTAGGTTTATTCATATTTTGCATATAAAAATTCATTTAGAAATTTAAAAAGAAAATGTTTATTACCTAATTCTAAAAAGACAATTATTCAGTACAGAACCAAAAAAAGACAACTCAAAAACAAATAAAAATGTAAAAAACTTTTTAGGACCTTTAATACCGAGTATTTCCAACTCTGGACCTAGCTTCGCCGTCAAATGTATTCGATTGGGTTCAAATCTGGACTTCGAGATGACCACACCAAGCCCTCAATACCAACCTCCTTCAGGTAGTCATCATACCGTACCTGCTCTATGGGGCATTATCAAGAATCTCTTACCTATTGGGGGGAGGCAAACGGCACTACATGTTCTGCGACTAATTCTCGTAAGTTTCTCTCACAAGAACCAATTCGGTGTCCAAGGAAATGCCACCCAAGAACGTCATGATTCATCATGGAATGCCTGAGGAACCCACAATATGGAGGGTCATTGAGCCTTCTTCTTACACTCCTGGAGGAAATCGAAACATTTTGGACTTGTCTTATCAGATTTTTTTAATTTCATTTCCCGTAATACTGCGGTTTCGTAGAGCCTGATGACGGATGAGTCTATGGTCTCTCCTGTCTGCAGACCTTGGTCAACCATGTCCTGGCCTTCTAGAGTGTTGGCCTGTTTCTCTGAATAATCGAAGACCATTCATATTGTAGACTGATTTGTACTGATACTACTTTCACCTCAAAAAAGCCGACTCCTCATATAAAAATGTCTTTCTAAGCCGACTTCCTTCCCCACCCCATCAAAATCCAACGTATATAAAGCATAAACATTAATATCATTAAATCCCTTATATTTCGGGGTCCGATTGGCCAAATAACTTGTTTCAATTAATTATTATTTTTATGTAAGGTATTGGGTGAAATGAAAAAGAGTGTCACGAGCGGGATTCGAACCCACAGCCGAAGGTCGTTTCAACCAATATCTTACATAAAAAGATTAATTAATATCTCTCTGGCACTCTCAACACGACACACAGTAATGACACATTTACACAAAAAATAAACACTTTGAGTGAGAACAAATATTTTGATTAAATCTAAAATTTCTATATTATGTACATCATTGTATAAATTCATTTTCACACCAAACATGTATTTGTATAATTTAAACAATGTGTATAAATCTCAGGCCCTGAAGATGATCGCAATAAAGATCGAAACGTTGGCACGATAAACAAAACGTTTTTCTAAATCTACGTCAAGCCAGAGCGCATCTCACGATCTCCAAATTATCATTAAATCCCAGTGTTGTTGTGAGTGAATATATTTATTTATAGCCAAATGTGTTTTTCAACGGTTCGAAATCGATTTTCCCCTTTTTCACATTTGATAACTAAATCTGGCTGTACCGAATCTACGACTTAAGACCGACACGAGCGTCTAACTCTTCACAATTCCATTAAAATCGTTTTAAAAAACTGTAGGGGGATGTTTTTCCCCCGTCCAAACAAAGCGTCTGTCATCTCGGCTTAAGTGGGAGATTCTCTCGGAGGGAATTTTATATTAAAATAAGATTGACTTCAAGGGACGAGGATAAAACGTTATGGCCCACTCGTACGTCACATTCCATTTATTTCAAGATGCAAATACACTACGATTGTCTCGTTTTATTTTCATCCCGATCCTTCTTCTAACTTACTTTAACCTAATGAATACAGACGAAATTCATTAACGGAATTATTTAATCATCCAATCAATATATAATTGTCACAATAATGACGTTAGCAAAATCAAACACATAAATCCACAGAATTATTAATTGAAACAAGTCGAATAACACTATAAAATATTAGTGAAAACGTTTGTTTCATGATTTACAACTGTCATGAATAAGCCCAAATAGCTGTCGTCATTACTGACGATCTCTGCCTCCGATTCTATCACGATGGCTTAAGCCGGATTAACTCTGACCACGAATGTCAAACAGGGGACTCGTTGATCTGAGATTTAATGGATTTAATGGCAGACTCGATTCTGATTTTCGTCAAACCTTGAAACTGGAAGTGATCGGGGAAAATTGTTATCTATACTTTTCGGCGTGAGATTTGTCCGCATCTGAAATATGTCTTTGCCCCGAATATACTTTGAAACGTACAAGAATCCGACTTTAATTTTAATGTTTGCATTTTCGATCGTGAATCTATAATTTATAAATAAAACAGATATTAGGAGGAATCAGTGGAGGATTAGGTATAAGAATATAGGTTTCACTCGAATAATAGGTCTCGTCAATTAATGGAATCCAAAGGTTTGGATGAGAAATAAACGATTTTTGCACCAATCTTTGATAAGCTCAAGGTATCCAAGGCAGGCTTGGTTAAGATTCGAGTTAGAGGAAAAAATTGCGTCCGCTTAGTGAAGATGATGGTGTTGGGGTGTGCAAATAGACCATCAGTATAGATCATGCAATACGACCAAAATTATTCTGATTTCCCTTCAAAATGAATAAATCTTTCGCTTTTAATAAAGATTTCCCTGGATGAGTATTCATTGATGAGTCTGAAATGAAGTTACTCTCTATGAATACTAATTCAATGTTGATAATTGTTTCAATTAATTACTCTTTATGTAAGGTTTTGGATGAAATAAAAAAGCCAGTGTCACGAGCGGGATTCGAACCCACGACCTTCGGCTAAATACGTCGCTGCTGTACCACTTCTATAGCTGGTAGCTATCTGACTTCGATCCACTCGGACACCAACAATTATTATTATCGAATAGTGAAAAATTATTCATTAATCAATTAATTAGTAATGTGATAAAAAAATGTGATTGGTCTCGTTTCAACTGACAATTTATACGAATGTTTATTAACTATACGAACACTGAAATTTACTAATCTACTATTTCACTTTTAGTTACTGGTTTAATGTTTTTCCGGTGATTGGTTGCCATTTCCTCAGGTGTTTCTATAAAAACGTAAAACAAAACAAAAAATCTCGATAAGTTAGCTAGCTGGTGGCCAAAGTCCTCCTCGGCCAATCTAGTTAAATGAAAACGACTTATGTCTTGTAGACAGAGCAAAATGAAAAGAATACCTTTAAGTCGGAACCCCATCCTTCTTCTTAAATCAACCGGGATGCCTCGTTCCTGTGGTTCCCGGTGGAAAATCCTTTAAGAGATCACTGTACAATTCTACATTTACAGTCCCATCTAGAAAGTCCAACGTTTGTCAGGACCGGAAATGTCGGCTGTCCACCGCACTGGCCGATGTGGCGATTTAATGAGACACTGTAAAATTAGCATTAAAACATCCGGGAGCTGATTTCTTTTTCTAGGGACCGTTTGGTCTTCTTTCAGCTTCATCACTCGCTACCTGCACGAATTCGATTTCCTACACTACACTTTCCTTAAAATACAAATTTTTATGATGAAATCAAAATAATAAATAAATGATATTCAGTTGAGGAAAAAAGTAATAGTGGCGTTCTCAAGTTTTTTATTCAGCTTGTAAAAAAATAGATATTTCATAGTAAACATTTAAGCTTTTATGATAAATAAATACGATTATTTAAAATAATTATGAAAATTTTGAAGAAGGCTGGCCAGGATAAAACAAAACTTTAATGGTAAGCCATTAAAGTTTTGTTTTATCAACAGACATTTTAACATCACTCCTGCTTGATGAACTGATGCACTGTTTAATAATATAAGAACTCATTGATCTTGCATAGAAATATTTTTACTATATTTTTTACTAATTACTAATTCTCTTATTAATGCTCACATAAAATGTCAGTCTAATCTATTGACCATAACATTTATAATTAAAAACTGTAAACCTGAACCGATGAAATGTTGTATTATATTTGCCCAGTTTTGCTTCCCCGGTTGTTTGCGATTGGGGCGTGATACACACAGCCCCGTATAATTTGCTAGATGCCAGTCAGGTCAACATAAGAAACACAACTGCGTTATTTATCAGTTTTCAAACTATTAAAAGTAGATAAGTATGAATAAGGTTTTTGTATATAAACGTTAAGCCACTTTTGATTACAATCATAGAGACAATTTTTCAATTAAGACAATTAAGGTTTTTAATTGAAATAAAAAAGTCAGTGTCACGAGCGGGATTCGAACCCACGATCTTCGGCTAGAGTCGCCGCTGCTCCACCACTTGAGCTATCGTGACCTCGATCCACTCGGACACTAACTTCCCATCTTTTGAATTTTCCCTCCTTTTTGCCATTTTTCAATTGAGGGGTTGAGATTGCATCCTTGCATCATTTATACTGCTGATGACCTACTTGCACACCCCAACACTTTAATCTACACCTACATGGATGCAATTTTTTCCTCTAACTTGAACCTTATCCAAGCTACCTCCATCATCCTTGACCTTATCAAAGACTGTTGTAAAACTGAAGAACAAGACTGAATGAAGAAAAATGTACACGGTGTACATTCACATTGAAAAAACAGACTTGTTCTCCACTGTATATCAGCAACAAAGCCCTACTAAGAGTTAAGAGATTACGACTTAAAATTAGACTTGGACAACTGACAACGGACTAAATTCCATGTTGACCGTAACATTAAACAACAGTATAGTTTTCTACGATCACTTTGGACATACGGATTCGAACTGTTCTGTTCTGCCAAGCTATCCAACATCAAGTACCAATCAAAATCCTCAGTCAAATCAATTCAATTTATAATAAAAATAAAATAAAAATGGAGGGAACGTAAATATTATAAAACTCATTGCTGAGCAGTTTATTACATAATGTAGAAAAAGAATTGCCATAGAACGTTAACATTTTTTGTAAACAATTGTTATGTATAATGAACATTTCATTGTTTTGTCATGTGGCAGGCAGAATCAACAATATCTTTAAAAGATGGTTCCTACTCACAGTTTGTGCTTTTCAACAGTTGAACAGTTGAAAATAACAAACTGTGTGTAGGAACTTGTGTCTTCACGAAAACTGCAGGCTAATATCGAGATTTAGTAATTAATCTCAACAAGACGTAAAAATTAATATTGACTACTTGAATTTGCTGATATATAGAAATGATAGAGGTCGTGAGGAACAGTCAGGAATGAAGTATTTTAGAAAAGACCTTTTTAACTTTTTTGCCGGCGTTTCGACCATTATTTGCGTCATCTTCAGGCCTGGGTAATTATAACATAAATGATGTTTGGAAAAAATACATTACAGATGTAAATATGAATTTTGACCCAAGTATTTCATACTTACATAAAGTGTGGCGCTATTCTTGTGTTGTCATATTTGTGTGAAAATGACGTGAAACGTGAATTTGTTTTCTGCTGTTTTTATATGATTGTGACAGGGTGGGGGACGTGGGAAATCTGGGAAATTTTCTTTAATCTTAGGCTCTTTACCGCCATTTATGACACCCCACTTATGTGAGTATGAAATACTTGGTTCCCAATTGTTGTATTTTTTCCAATCAACATATGTTTTGTGAATCACCCAGGCCCTGAAGATGACCCGAATAAAGGTCGAAACATCGGCAAAAAAATGAAAAAGGCGTTTTCCTAAAATACTTCATTTCTGACCGCTCCTCACGACTTCAACAGATTATTGAACAACCGGTCACTAAAAAAACGCAATCTGAGTTATTTCGGGAATAATTTCCTCATTCTTGTGACAAAACATTTTGAAGTTCAATTTTTGATTTTATTTTATTTTTTCGGACTTTCAAGTCCAAGGAGTGCCATCAATGTTCAGAGGCATGTATATCCGGTGGAGGGGTGTTAAGTTGTTTTGGAATATTACGTACAAAATTTTACCGTTTTAGAAAAATAGGTATATACGTAAAATTTCAATATCTTAATTTTACCAAGATGTAGCCGTCTAGGGCATATTTTTTAGACCCACTGTATATTCTTAATTTTCTTAATATTCTTAATGTTCTTAATTTTGAGCTTTTCTGCTTAGTTTGCAATGCAACTAAAACACCCTGTATAATTTTTTAGCATTTTTTCTCTCTCACTCACCTATTATTTTTCAATCGCTTTATTTATTTCTATAAAAATCATATTCTCTCTCTTGTTAAGAATCTATTTATCAATTTTCTTTATCTCTTTCCGTCTTTCTCTCTCTCTCTCTCTCTCTCTCTCTCTCTCTCTCTCTCTCTCTCCTGTCTCTCTCTCTCTCTTACTCTTTATATAAACACACTCACATTCACGCACACACTGATTACAATATCTAAGACATAGGATCAGATGAAATTCATACAAGGCTTATCTTTCCCATCTCCTAAGGGCATTTTTAGGGATAAGCAAACACCCGATTTCTGCTATTCCATGGAAAATTTGCCTTCTCTGGGATGTAAACGTTTAAAAACGCCCACTTGTTTTAATTGTTAATTAAACTTTTGTTTATTTGTTATTCTCGGTTTTTCCATTTTGGCGTGCTCGGTGGGCGTTATTGCGATAAGTGTAATCCTTTCGTTCGCCGCAAAATCCGCCGTGGGAAGGGCTTTCGGCAGTCCTGTGGCTGCTGGAGCCGAACATATTCCAGTTTCCAGTTAACAATGCCTCTCCCGTTCCTGAGAGTGTGTAATAAAACTAGCCCCCATGTTGTCTGACTTGCGCTAAGTCCCCTAATGAGCCCATTACTGGGCTTAGGCCGCCTCCTTCCAGCCCACATCGTACATTTTAATTTCAACACATTTTATAGGACGTCTAATCCTCTGATAACATACCAGCTTCAAGCTTTTAATGTACAAAGAATCAACGATAAAACTCTGAAATCGTTTAAAGTGTGATATAATGTGAAGAATATTGTAATTTATAAGCAAAAGAAATTAACTTTTTTTCAATTATTCTACAAAAACTTTTTTTTTCAGGAAGCTCATCCTGTTAGGCTGAAGCAAATACATGTAATAAATGTATCATCCCTCTTAGATAAAACGATGACCCTTGTCAAACCGCTGTTGAAAGCCGAGGTGGCAGGAATGGTAAGAGAAAAATTAATTTTACAATGATTTATTTATTTTCAATATTGTCGGGTGCATGATTCAGAAGCCCCACACTTGGACCATATAAAACCACAAAACCTCACGCCATCAATTTTCCGAGTTACATTCATGCAATAGAATTCTATACTTAAGAAATGCTCAAAAAAGACTAAAAGGTGCACAAATATTCTTAGATCCTTAAATCCTCCGCCTTCAACTCAAACTTGGCATGAGAATCCAGCATTATTCCGAATGTGTGGTGATTAGTGACCACACAATCTAATCGATATTTATTTAGAAATCGTGAGATGCGGTCTGGTGTGATGTAGGTATCAGAAAAACATTTTCTTTATCGTGCCAACGTTTCGACCTTTTATTGAGATCATCTTCAGGGCTCAAAGTGTTTGTCTTCTGTGTAATTGTGCCATCCTTGCGTGTGTCACTGGCACTCTCAACACGACACGCAAGGATGGCACAATTACACAGAAAACAAACACTTTGAGCCCTGAAGATGATCTCAATAAAAGATCGAAACGTTGGCACGATAAAGAAAATGTTTTTTTCTGAAACCTACACCACACCCGACCGCATCTCACGATATCTGAATAACTATCGATTAACAGTCACTAATCTCTACACATTAGGGATAACAACTCCCCATGCAACACTTTAGCCAAGGGATGTTTCATAAGTACACTTATTAGCCCTGAGCGTTTTGCAGCATACCAAATTGCCAAAAACATACATCCATTTGAAAATGGTTAACATTAAGTTCAATTGGAATGTATTCAAGGACAGTAGCTAAAAAGTTCGCCAAAGAACTATAGCAGAAACTAATGGCCGAACTAATAAATCTACATTTTAGTACCATAATGATAGTAGGACTGCTGACTAATAACTGCAGACTCTGGAGGCATTTGTATAGATTCGGAGTGGCAGAAACAAGCCTATGTAGAAATATTGACAGGAAGAAAAGACAGCAGAGCATGTCCACTGTTGATTCGAAGGCTTATGTACATTGAGATTCCTACTTTTGTGAGAGGAATAGCCAAGGCCTGAAGGATGATGAGAGTCACCATGGAAGTCTGATAAAGCTTTGGGATCTAATAACAATTTTAAGATTAATGAAAAGCTCTCGATGACTGTGATAGTTCGAGCAAAAAGCCAACTCCTTTTAACCTTAAATCTTAACATCATAGATAGAGCAGTGAGTCAAGGAAATAAAGAAGAATCAATTCCACAAATTTTAGGTCGCAGTGGAAAAAAGTGTAGTTACTAGTGACACCAGAAAAAGAAAAAAAATCACAATTTTTGCTTATTAAATATGTTATTTGGTTTAGTTGTGTTAATCACTACGATTGTATCACAATTCAAAAGCAGTTATTTTTTTTTTAAATATGAAAATATATGAAGAAATTATGCAGAGGCATAATTGGATAAAGTTGCGTAAAAGTATAGTTTGGGCAAACCAACATCTGAAACTCATTACCGACTAGTCCACTCAGTGGCGGAACAGGTTGAATGAGCAAAATGGACAACAAGTAACGTTTACACTCAAACGTCGACCGGCCCCACCAATACACATAAATGTCAAGGTAATATGTACCTCTATCTGACCAAGTTGGGCTTTACTTAGACAGTAGACTTACATGGAACTGACATACAAATTAAAAATACAAAAACTCAACCAAACATATGTACTACTATGTACAACTACTGGGTCTGACACTAAGCATACATAACAAACTAACCACTTACAAAACACTCGTCAGAAAACTTGAACTTGGAGTTGAACTGTGGGGCTCAGCCAAATCTTCAAACACCCAACAAATTAAATCTTTTTCCTCACCAATTAAATATGTAAAGATCTTAAAATCCTATTTGTGAAGGATCTGATCCAAACACACTTCCTCGATTTCCACTTTATACTGTCCCTCCACCCTAATTCCCCCCCCCCCAATTAAATAAAAGTGAGTTTCCAACACTGGCTGATTTCTCTCTTCAGTTTCCTGGTCTGTCAGATTTGTATATTAATTATCTATACACTTTGCTCAATATGTATTTATTTTGATTATATAAATATATAAATGAAATAAATAAATAACTAATAGGGATAAGAAAGTCCTATTAAGACATAAAAAGGAATCTCCCAGGGAGGAATTTTCAGCCCTCTTTTTTATGCCGTATTTCTTACCTGATTTTTATTAAGTAAAGGGTGCAAAACAAAAGACAAATATCAGAGGTATTTGAGTTCAAAATTTTGATAATCTCGCTATCTGTATTAATTATTAAAAATCGAATAAAAATTGTCATTTATGTAGATAACACTTCTGTGTGCATTTTTAACGTTGTAAAATAATTTGTTTCAGTTACATTTTCATCAGCCAGAATCTAAGACATTATACGACTTTGTACCGAAGGATATTCTTCCAGATGAGTATGGTGGTAAAGCTGGAACCGTATCAGAAATCAAAGGTAAATTATTTTTTAAAAAAATTGACGATAATAAACATTCATTTATTTATTGCACATACATTTACGTCTTTGTTTGGTGAAAAATAACTAATGACCACAATGTTTTCCCCCATTTTTCAGAAACATGGAAATCAAAGGTTGAGAAAAACAGAGACTGGTTTAAAACCAATCCCTGGATTGCGAACAACAACAAGAGATTAGACAAAAAAAATTCTATAAATATAATGGATGGCTCTTTCAGAACTCTCACCATAGATTAAGTTGTTATAATTTTTTTTTTAATTGCCTTTGAGGCAACATAATATTACAGCATGTATTACTTTTGAAATATGACATTTGTTTAAAGTCAAATACATATATAATATTCAATTATGCTATTATATATTCACAGCACTGTTAGAAACATTTATTATAAATACAAATATTATATGTATATATGTATGCTTACTCAGACTTTTCAGGGTTTTTATATATATTTTTTTTAATTAATGTCATTATAGGAATCATACTTAATAGTAATGTTTGTAATTAGAAAAATCGTGATATTTTTCTTTTTTTAGACTGTACATTTTAAATAAATATAGGTTATTTTTCACAAAAATGAGTAATTTTTAATTAAATGTCTTTCCAACGGATAAACTGTAGAACAAAGTAACAAAAGTAAAAAAAAAAAAAGAAGAAAAAAGTTAATAAATAAAAATGTAACATTTCACTATAAAAGAGTAACATTTAATATTCATCAGAAAATTCATCGGAAGCATCCCTGTTCCTCGTCAGCATGTAGTTGTCCATATCGATGGACCTGCATGAGTTGATAGCGTACCTCAGCCTCTCGGCCAAGATTTCAGGGCTTGAGTACGGTGGCAGGCGGAGCTGGAAAAAGCAAGTCTGCGCAGTTGGAAGACCATCCGCAGCCCTGTCGACCCTCATCACCTGAAAACAAACAAAACATTAGTTACAAAAAAAGCCGTAGTGAAGTACTTCCAGATTTACTAAGATTCTTTTCATCAATTTTTGAGAGTGGTGATAACGAAAGGTGAAAATACAATAGTTATAAATTAGCATATTGTAAATCAATATAAATAAGCAATTTGATCACGATGAAACCATTAGCTTACTTGAAATCTCTGGGATACGTCAGCAAGGTTGGCTGGAAGTCTTGACCTTCCTGAAACGAATCGCATAAAAAGGACCTTCTCTGCGTCTGTGAAACTCTCCAACGCTCCCCACAGCCACTGGATCAATGGTGAGCCAGCTTCCAAATCTCGATAACTTAAAAAAAAAAAATACAATTTAAAAAATAAAACAGTTATTTGAATTTTATTTATATTGTACATACCGAACGATTTTTTTCAAAAGTGGAATCGAAATATGGGGTAGGCCACAGACCAAAAGTTCAAAATGGCTTGCAGTCACCAACGATAAAAGTGGTACAGGGATTATCCAAGCCATGCCTTCTCTAACAGCTGCAACCTTGTACAAAAAATTTATTATTTGCTTTAAAAGCTTATACACGAACCAAATATAACAATTTACCTGCATATCCATCTCATGAAGCCTGAAATTAACAGCCTGTTCAACGTATTGGAGCCTATTCTGGAACGTCAATGGTATGCTCCTTCCACCTGGGACTATAGGCACCATTTTCCCCGTCCAGCTCGTCCCTTCGAAACACTCAAGTGGGATGACCTCGTAAAACGTCTCTTCAGTCACACCTGACTGGTGTATGTCACGAATTCCTCTAAGACTCTGAGCATACAAGGCGTCGTTTTCTTCCAAGTCGTCCCACGAGACATGCTCCTTAACGAGAAGCTTCCAGACTATAGCTGAAAGCGGCAACGCTAATGGCTTTTTCGTCCTTACAGCCACACCAAAAAGAATTCCTTTAAATTAACAGATAACATGTAAAGTAAATTACATTTTCAAACAATATCGTATATTGTATTTGACATCAATAATTAAAGATGGAGCTACGAATCAATCAATCACGATCACTGATTTAAATGTAACTTTTTTTAAGTCTCTCTCTCTCTCTCNCTCTCGCGCTCTCTCTCTCTCCCATCATTGAAGTATCATTGAAATTGATTATCCCATGTCGTTACCTTTTCCTTGTCAGTATGTATAACACATACATAATACTTCTAAAAAAACTAGTATGATTTTTTTGTGTAAACATTATGATCCATTAGGTCTTGTTACCATTAAATTTAATAACTTTTTGGAAATTACCTAAAAATTTGAACCACTGAAGATGATGAGGTTCGGTGAGAGAAGGATTTAGAAGGTATCTATCACGGCTGTATCCTGTATCGTTTGTTGTATTTGGCGTCGGGATCAAAATAGGAATTGTTCCGTTCAACATCTCTTCACACATTTCTGTTATTGTATCGTCAAAAACTCCACCTGCATCATCTGCACCCTCACCGACTAACTTAACCTAAAAATAAAGATTGAAACTTGGCATAACAAAAATTTCAGATAAGACCGACTGACCTTCCAAGCCCGTGACGGCAATCTTAGATCGGAAGCTTTCATCTTTACGACCTGTCTTGCGATCTGGGTGAATATCGGTTCGATTGTGTTCGATGTCCGTTTTGTCGCACTGAGCCTGCTGACGGTGACTTGAGGGCCATAATTACGACCTTGAACCATCGTCCTTCCAAGACATCTCACCAACGGCAGAGTGTACACTCTTGGTAAGAGTAACGGCCGGAGAACCGGTGAGCCCAACCACCCATAAGGGAAAATCTGAGACCATGGTGCTTCCTGCAAATTAAATTACAAATATTCTCATCAAAGTAAATACCCATCAAATAACAAAGGAAATACTGTTTATGTAAGAGAACGTACTGATATGAACACAAATAAATAGGAGCAAAATGTAGAACAATTAACATAACTATATGAAGAAATATTAAAAATAAAGCATCATTCAAAGAGCAATCTATAAAAACTGGATACACACCTCAGCACAAAGAGGAAGGACACGCCAGCAAGAATACAGGGTATCCGAAAAGAGATGGAGTAAACTGAGCCTTGCTTGGATCGCTGGTATAGGAGTATTTTGTAAATGGCCGTACTGAGAGGGAATGGACGCAGGAAGTCCAAACTGCGTACTTCTTGTGATACCTGATTTCCTTCTCGGTACGGGAGGTACAGACCAAGCTGCTGAATGTGATCTTCCAGTAGAAATCTTCAATATAATAAATATTTAAGTTTATGTATGTATTAAATATTTGTATTTAATTAATTACTTGTTTGATTCCTTTGTCAGATAAAACTGGAATTGGCAAGGGCTGTTTGACAGCAAGTGCCGAATGGCCGAGTCCGAGTTGGGCATCAGAATTGTTACCCCATCCAAATACAAGGCCTTCTGAAGTCAATGCCAAAGTGTGTTCTGCACCGACGGCAATGTCCTCAATAAAATGCATTGAAAGCGTAGAGACCAACTGGGGCCGGGTATGATTTGAGTATCGGCACTCAGGAAGTCCAATCAGCCTTTCGACGCCACAGGTGAAAACTTTACCGTTTAACGTGAGAAAAGCCGTGAACTGCGCACCGCAGCAGACTTTCTTTATAAACTCCCCATACAACGCTTCTATTTTCTATAGTTCAAATTTAAAAATTATAGTTTAAAGAAACAACAATATTTAATTTGTAAAAAATTTACCTGAGGCGTATGATATGTTGTGGTGTTTCCTAAGCCAAGTTTACCATAATCACCATCACCGAATGACCAGCACATTGTACAATCCTGAGAAACGCAGACTGTGTGATTGAGGCCACAGGCGACTTGGCCGATGGCAATGCCTGCTAAAGCTTGCACCCGTTCCGGGAGTTTTTTGTTGCTCGTAGTGCCATCCCCGAGCCTCCCATAATCACCATTTCCAAACATGAAAAGTTTGCCATCTGAAGTGACAACTGCGCTATGCTTAAAACCGCATGCAACCTAAAAATAACCACATTTAAAATTATAATATAATTTTGTGTTATAATCAGTTCAGCTGTAAAGGAATTTTTATTGTTTTTGTTATTTCGAATTATTTAAATATGTATTAAATGATGATAGTAAAAAATGTATGACTTGCCTGGACTACGTCTTCACCCTGAAGAGCTTCTATTTGCCTCGGCCTACGTTGTCTCTCGCTATTGCCATGACCTAATTTGCCAAAATCACCATCTCCCCATGAAAAGACTTCCCCGCTTTCTGCGAGGGCTAAGCTGTGGCCATCGGAGCCGCATGAAGTAGCCAATTGTATTATTACAAAACCTGTAAAGTAAAATCGAGAGATTAAAAACTCACATCCTGCAATGTATATAACTGACCTTGAAGTGATGATATGATGCTCAACGAGTGGAGGTCGTCTGCATGGCCCTGGCCTAGTCTGCCATAGCTGCCTTCGCCGCAGGACAATACGACACCATTTGCTTGTATCACAAAGGTACAGTTCTGACCGCAGATGATTTGTTGTGCGTTTGAAAATGACTCGGCCAGAACTGGCCTGTGCGAACTGTGCCCTGGAATTTTACACGTGAGGCAAAAGCCGTTTTGAATAATGCACAAGAAATACCTATTTCCGCGAGCTGTCCGTGTCGTCCGTTGCCCCATAGATATGCTTCACACCTCGAGCCCATTTGCCAGTCTTGAGGCATTGTTGTTGACCAGGAGATGATTTCTTCATCCGCTTTTAAGGTCCATGCACTGTTGTCAATAGCAAGAGACCAGTACTCAGCTGGAAAAAAAAAATATTTAAAAAATCATACGATTTGCTGACTTAATAATAATTTTTGTCTTGTTATAATTCCAATTTTAAAATACGTACGTTGAGCAATTTCAGGTTTTTGAGCAATAAACTCAGGTGCAAATTGACTTCTGCACACGAGCGCTTGTGCCGCTTTGGCAGCAAGGCTGATTGTACGCAGCCAAGCTCCTTCGGGCACTTGAAAAAACAAACAAATTCAGTTTTAACAAGAATACATAAATAATCACAATAAAAACGTACACAAGGTGACAGATTCTTCGTCATTTGGAGGGCCACGGTCATAGCAAAGTATGCCATCTAATGAGAGCGATAATGTTAGTGCGACCAAGCATTTAAAATAATCACTACAAATCAACTGCTGCCCGTTGTTGACAAACGGGGTCTCGTAGACACACTGCTTTGTCAATAGGAGAGGTAGATTTTCTATGAGGGACACCAGACAAGGAGCAGTGTGCAGACCGAATATGCCGCGTTTCATCAAATTGTGACGGCTTATAGGTAGAATGAGTGATTTTCTGGAGGGCCCCACAGCATTAATATCCTTTAAAAAAAAATTTAAAAATTAATCATTTATGTTAAAACATGGATAAACACACTTACTTTTGATCTGCTGAAAGCTACGGCCAGACCGTACATGTCCATCCAGGCAACTGATTGTACACCGCCAGTGCCGGTATGTGTTTGAAATACACAACCTTCGTTTAACGACCACAAGTTGAGTACACCGCTTGTTCCCTTTCCACAGCCTATTGAAATTTATCATCTTAACTATCTATAACTGAAAGATCAAAAATTCTAAACTTACCGGAAGCGAGGACAAATCCAGTCGGATCGACAGAAAGTGATGTCACCGGATTGTACAAATGGCCTTGGAGAGTATGCAAGAGGGATGAAGTTGCATCGTTCCCAGGCCTTGGCAGCAGCCACACGTAAATTATACCTGATGCAGTGCCAACACACAGAAGGTACGGCCGTGTACCTTTTCCTAATAATCAATTTAGATCAAACTTTACTAATTAAACATTTATGTGTTAAAAATATAACATGAAATGTAAAAAAAAAGCTTAAAACATTGACCCCCCTTAACCAATTGATTAATTTTCTATCAAACACTAGGCCTGTTATAAGTCATTATTAGTACTTAAAATAATGATAACCTAAAAGTTGTCTNTCTGTCTCTCCATTTCAGTTTTATTCCTGTTGGAGGTTTCTCTCTAGTAAAGTTGATTATGGTTTTCTGTGCTGTCCTTTCTACCATGTGATGTAGGGGGATTAGTCCCAATATCTTTTCCATGCTAATTGTAGGCCATGTTCTCATTGCTCCCGTTATACAGATGCATGCAAGTCTCTGTATTTTTGTGAGTTCTTTCCTTTTGGTTATTTGTTCCGCTTTATCAGCCCAGGCTATAGCTTCGTATGCAAGTAAAGGTCTTACTATTATGGTGTACATCCATAACAGCGTTTCTGGCCTACATCCCCAGTTTCTCCCTGCTACTCTTCTGCACACCATCAAAGCTCGTGTCGTCTTTGTGATAATAGAGCTGATGTGTTTCTTGAATGTTAGTGTTTTATCTAGTGTAATGCCCAGATATTTGACATCATTTTTGATTTCTATCACAGAGTTGTTGAGTTTGATTTCTTTCATGTGATCTAGCTTCCTTTTCCGTGTAAAAGTGACTATAGTTGTTTTGTATAAATACTAGGCCTGTTATAAGTCATTATAAGTACTTAAAATAATGATAACCTAAAAGTTGTCTCTTACTTTAAAAATATAATAATTTTTAAATCTCAAAATAACATTAAACACTGCACAGAGTGCAACAGAGACACAGGTTAAAATGGTAACAGATTTATCACCCTGAGGAGAACCGAGGTCTAATGACAGGAACGCAACCCTGACAGCCATGGATGTAGACTTTTCTTTCCACTTCCTGACATTCTCTTCATTGGAGGACATGAATAAAAACGATTTACTCTAGTTATCATGGAAAAATCCTCAAGGTAGCTGGGGCTAACATCCCTTGCACCCCGCCAAGACCACATAGTCAACAAACTGTAACCTAGCATTCAGTGAATTCAGATCACGCATCAACCTGGCAATCCTTTAATGAAGCGGTATAGATTGTAAATGTCACCCCTACTTGTCAAAAGCAGGGATTCCAAACTAAAAAGGCTTTCTGCACCCTTCCAAGACTTAATAAGCATTTGTCTTTTTCATATGCATTTTAATGCAATTCAAATCCTCCATGCAATGACAGATTTTGAAAATCGGGACTTTCTCCTAAACCCATTCTATATTTATGCTCACCCCACAAACCGTAGTTAGTTTATTTTGGAATAAAAATGCCAAGAAGCCCTATGCCTTGAAACAAAGGTGTTTTCCGTACCACAGGGTACCTCGATTTATACACAAATCCTACCGCCGAATCTGGAATCTTACTAAACAGACAGGCATCTATTATTAAGAGTTCGTTTGCTATCATTTTCCATAATTTTGTAACTGCAATGCATAACTACCACTAACACCATTCCTAATATAAGCATCGTCCAAATCATTTTCAAGAATGCCAAAGATCCCTAACTCAGTGACAACTTTACCTCTGATAACTACTTCTTTGTATTTTAACAGGTATACAGTGAGAACAAAGAGAGCTTATAATTCGTCCTTGAGGAATTTCTTTGTAATTTAAGGATGGGGCTGAGTGGGTGGATCGAAAGAGTAAACTCACTTTACCGAGTGAGCAATCAAGTTACAGAAAGACCTCTGATATCCCTCCAGTCTGATACCAACTCTTCAGAAATCACGTTTGTTATATCCATCATCCTGAAATGATGCAGTAACCCTACCCATATACGGATGCCGTTCCAGAATGATGCATTTCTTCTAGAAAACACACACTTTTGAAGCTTATTGTAAGGTGTTGGGGGTACTGTTAGAATCAAATCGGTATTATATGCTTCTAGTATCGCTTTGATAATGTTATTGTGAAGGCCATTTTTCAATTTGACGTTTTGGAAATGTTTTATGATTTTTTCTTTTTTTGGAAAACAAAATTAAATCAAAATGTTTTCTGTATTTCGGGAGTCTTACAAATAAGTGCCGTAACGAACGTGTTAATTTTGAATTTTGTCACAAATGACCACCTCGTTTGCCCCTCCTGCGCTCTCCGCTTGCCTAAACCATCTCTCCAGGTCATCCATAGTCAACCTTTCTGCCTTCTTACCCATTCAAGTTTTCCACTTCACGAAAATGACCATTTCTCTAGCCCTCATTTATTTATGGGTTATATCCAGTGTTCGGTCAAACTTCCTCTGCCTCTCTGATAATTACCTGACCAACCAGGATTAACCCGCTCAAGTGTAATAAAAACATGTGGTGATTATTAGTGACCGTTAATCGATAATTATTCCGAAATCGTGAGATGCAGTCTGGTAAGATGTAGGTTTCAGAAAAACATTTTCTTTATCGTACCAACATTTCTATCTTTATTGAGCCCTGAAGATGATCTCAATAAAGATCGAAACATTGGCACGATAAAGAAAATGTTTTTCTGAAACCTACATCACACCAGACCGCATCTCATGACTTCGGAATAATTGTAATAAAAACATTCGATCTGTCAGTTAATCCTCCTCACAAGTCAATCGTCTGGTAGAAAAAAAAAGAAGCAAACTTGCATGTTAGTCGGCATCAATAGATCAGCTCGGAAAACGAGAAAAAAGGATTAACCAGCAGATCAAATGTTTTTATTTCACTGGAGCAGATTAACTCCAGTCGGTTGGATCATTTATAAGAAACGGTGAATCGTCATTGTCGTGCCACCTCTGGAAGTAGCGGGGGAAGATCAACTGAACACTGGATATAATACATAAATAAATGAGGGCTAGAGTAACGGTTAATGCTGGAAAGCGGGAAAACAGACCGCTGAAATTTTGGTCATTTCTGTCAAATAACAATCCTGAAATTCAGACAATCGACCTTTACAGCTGGACCTGGCCATATTTGTAGCCTAGAAAGTTTCAAAGGACTTTACTTTCAAGAAAATTCTCTACAACATTTACTCTGTCACATTTTTAAAAATAATTAATAGTTTTGCAGATATTGGCAAAAACATGCTGGGAGTTGTGGACGATGGGTCAGAACCTCTTGAAAATTCATTTTCCATATTGCTCTCAAACAAAATACCATGGGCACAGAATCATAAGCATGGAAAATATGTGTTGGATTTAAACACTTGGCAAAAAAAAAAGAAAAAAAAGTTTTTGGCCATAAAAATTAAAAAAGTGTTTTTGAACCTACATGGTAAATTCATGATCATCATTGCAATTATGACTGATGTTTCATCATTTGGATACAATAGTCCAGCATCTAAGTTTGTTATACTTTTCCTCCAAACTGAATTACTCACCAATAATTGGTGACCAAGTGAGTGTTGACAGATCATGGTTGTGTGGCAAATTGTAAATCGATGTCCATCCTTTGTCATTCTGGCTGAAAACTTTGCAAGTCTTGTCTTGATTTGAACAGGACGCCAACATTTCACTCTCAGGGGACCATTGTATTGCGTTTATTGTCGTCTAAAAATGAAATTATTAATTTATTTATTCATTTGTTTTATTTAATTTGTCTTACTTCGTGCGCTTGAATTGTTGCTATGTTTTTCTTATTTATCATATTTCCTATTCTAAGAGTGCCATCAGAAAACGCAATGGCAAAGAGTTTTTCTTCAGTGTGCCACACGATTTGTATCACAGATGCTGAGGATGAAAAAATCATTATTTTCTTGAATAAAATCAAAATTATAGAATATCATTAAGAGCGTACCATTGGGTTGAGAGCAGTGGGCTAACTCTACCTTTGTATACGAATTTGGCTTTACACTTATCACAGACACAGTTCCATTGATACATCCTATCAGAAGGTTTTCGGTTTCATTCGGTTCCAGACGGTTTGCAGGCCAACAGAGCGAAGTGATCCAGTCTGTGTCACTGTCGATATAACACTCGCCGCTTATCTTGCCCTCTTCTGTATAAAAATAAAAAATATAAGATCCGATAAATGTAGAAAAATGATTTTTGACTTACCGTTTAGACACCAAATATTGAGCGAGTTTTCCATTGATGCAGATAAGTAAGTTCCACTTGGAGACCAGCATAAATTAGAAATGACTTCACCATGGAGTTCGCTTCCATAGACATTCATTGATTTTCTATAAACTAACGTCTGCTCTAAAGAATGCGTATCAGGACACCAAAGTCTCACTGTGCTGTCATATCCACTGGATAAAAATTACAATTTTTTTTACATTTTTGAACCAAATAAATAGAGTAATTATATTTATGCAAAGTGAGATTGAGATCAAAAAGTAGTGTCACGAGAAGGACTTGAACCCACAAAATCCAGATTCGTACCCCAGCAGTGAACCACTTGCAATATTGAAATTGCTGTCCTTAAGACACCAACTAATCAACCCATCCCATTTTCTTTTTTGCCAATATTCAAATAAGGTATAATAATATGGATTCTCGGTGATATACAAATTAGCCGAGAGGTTAGTGAAGTAGTAATAATAAATCATAATTATAAATTAATTAAATTCATTAATTAAATTAAAATAAAATAAAAATAAAAATAAATAAATTTTGTATATATCGTTCTTGTATCAGGGATATTCAATTTAACTCTTTCTAAAAGTTTCAGACAACATAGTAAGTTATTTAACAATCTGAAACAAACCAAACGTAGAAAACTTTTCCACTCTTTTCTAGGAAATATATGTTCATCAATAACATTTAGCAAAATCATTTAAACAAATATTGAACAATAATGGGAACAAATTCACCCTTGGGGCACAAGCAAAACGAATAGTTTGGGTTTTTGGGATTTCTTAATTTTAGAACTTTTTACTTTTGTTATAGGTTTCAATTGTTGTAAACTGTTAATGCAGCCTAGTATAAACTAATAGAACCTATAATATTTATAAAATAACAACTGTAGTGAAAAAAAAACAGCAAAGAAAAGGCAAAATGCACACAATATGATTTTTTCGCTTTTCCAAATTTCAAGACTTTTTACTTTTGTTATTTGTTTCTATTCTTGTAACCTGTTTATTCAGCCTTGGACAAACAAATAGAACATATAATATTACTAAAGAAACGACTGTAGTGAAAAATGGCAAAGAAGGGGCAAAACGCTCATGTTATGATTTTTTCGATTTTCCCAATTTAAGAACATTTTACTTTTGTTATTTGTTTCTATTGTTGTAAACTGTTTATTCAGCCTTAGACAAACAAATAGAACGTACAACATTAATAAAATAATGACTGTAGTGAAAAACGGCAAAGAACGGGCAAAACGATCACATAATGATTTTTTTGCTTTTCCCAATTTAAGAATTTTTTACTTTTGTTATTGTTTCTATTGTTGTACACTGTTTATTCAGCCTTGGACAAACAAATAGAACATATAATATTAATAAAATAATGACTGTAGTGAAAAACGGCAAAGAAGGGGCAAAACGCTCACAATTATGAGTTTTTCGCTTTTCCCAATTTAAGACCTTTTTACTTTTACCGAGAGTTTAGTGAAGTAGTAATAATAAATCAAATGAAATAATTACTTTAGTTAATCAACAAAAACATATATAAATTTAGTTATTAGAGTTGGGTCATTTCCGATCATATTGTCTTCTTATCCTCCACTAGATTGGCAGACCAAAATGATCAGAAATGCCCAAACTGGAGGATAATCACTACACATACCTTGAAGCGAGCTGATGTTGAAAAGGATGCCAAGCCAAGTTGCTTATCTTGTTGTCATGTCCTTGGACGAAACATTCGATATCTTTAGGAAGGACGCCGGTCAAGTCGGCCATGTTCAGTGTTTCCAAGATGTGATTCGGTAAAATGGTGCTTTTCATCGACAGGCAGACGACCAGTTGCTGTGCAGCCCATTGTCTGATCGTTGGAGTCAATTTAGTTGAAAGTATGCAGGCCGAAAGCGCATTCGCCAACAACAGCGGGCTTAATGATTTATTGTCAGTAGGACTTCCAGGTATTTTATCCTCGTCTGTTAAAAAGTTTATGCAATTTGTTTTATTTAATTTAAAATTATTCTCTATAAAATAGAAAATTCTATAAAATATTATAATTACTAATAAACTAAAAACTAATATTAGTTATTCTTACCATTTTTATTTTTGGATTTTATCAATGATCCTACATGAGATGTGAGCATTTCAACAAGAGATTGTGTAACCGCAAATACGCTTGAATGAAGTCCTTTATTAGCTATTGTCAAAAGTTCCTAAAAAATAGATTAACAAAATAAATCATTTAAATTGTATATGATATTGTTATAAATATGTATTTTTATATTTGCCTGTGCACACATATAAATAACGAGTTTGCTCGCTGATTGATCATTGGAAATAATAGACGCAATCGCCGTGCTCAGGTTTGGCAGTGCTTTCGACTGCGTCGTCGCCATCAGTGTCATGAGACGGACGACTTTTCTCACATCGCTCAAGCCGATGGCACCCAAACCATACGACAAATTTGTATTTGCTCCACTAAATAAACACAAATACTTAAATACATAATACTGTAAAAACTATATGAGTGTGTTTGGAATTTTAAATTTTCAGTAATTCATAGAGAAAACAAGATCTAAATGACACAACATTTAAAAAGTCCGCCTACAGCCTATTGCAGCTTTAGCTTAAATTACATATTTTACCTGTTTGTTAGATGTGTGAGTGCTTCCATAATGACAAAACGTGAAATGGCAGTTTGTGCCACCTTGGTGATTTTTTTGAGTATTTCTATTCTGTCTTTACTCGAGTTGAGAGTCGCAGCTTGTTCACCGAGGGGAGTGTCGCTCTGTATGCCCAAGCCGTTTGTTGCTGAAACCATCAATGTTCAATTCAAGAAGTTCACTAAGAAATTAAAGTGAAATACCAACTCGTCGTAGGTTTTGATGCCGATGTGATGTTGGGTATGAAAGAGGAGCCGAGTGGGTCGGGCGCATGGAATGTCACCGGCTCCAGGACCGAATTGACGTTCACGACACTGAAAGCGTTGCCAAGTTCTTCCAATTTCATCAAGTCTAATGGGCCCTCAAAAAATGATGGTGCATACTCTAAAAGTATAAAAAAATACAAAAACAAGTGAAGGACATTCAAAATGAACAAATTCCTACTACCGTAAGATGCCTCGAGATCTGTTATCAGGTTGGGTGAAGGTAATTGAGAATCATTATTTTGAACCCTTTCCTCGATTAAGCCTCTGTACAAATCTTGGCAGTCCATACAAAGCACATATTCATTTCCTGAAAACATATTCAATATATGTAAATAGTATTGTAGAATGTGAAAAAGTATGCTTCTTAGAAACCATAATTATTTTAGTTTGAATACTATAATACTAAAAATAAGGATTTTAAATTTATAAGTATCTATAATCTATCAAAAACAAGAAGGACTCTACTGTCTAGGCTTTGTGGGTGACCTTTCCGTAGTGGTAAAATCCATTGATTGACCAAGTGGAGCTCTCAGCATGATGGACAGGAGGTGTAAACGAGAGGAGCTATCTTTCAACCCTCACAAAACCTTAATGGTTCCTTTCACAAGGAAAAGGGTGATAAGAAGCCTAAAAATTCCAAGCCTAAGCGGGTCACTGATTCCATTCTCCAAAGAAACTAAATATCTAGGCGTCACACTAGATTAGTGGCTAACATGGAATCCACATCTAATTAGAACTACCCAAAGAACAAATTTTGCTGGAGGAGGTGCAAAAGGCTAAAAGCTCAGGACTAAACCCCAAAATAATCCTATAGCTTCTCACCTGTGTTATAAGGCTGTTGACTTATGGGTCGGTGGTGTGGTAGACCAAGACCTTGCAGGTTAAGGTGATTAGGCTTTTAAGTGGCAACCAAAGACAAGCTTGCCTCAGTCACTGGAGCAATGAGACATTGGAGATGTTGTTAAAGCTCCCACCATTCCATATTTTAATCCAAGGAGAAGTCAGAGCAGCGGCTCAAAGGCTCAAAAATGGACAACCATCTGCAGGGATAGGCCATATCAATGAACAATGGAAACTGAAGGAGGAGATACAGGCAGATTCTAGACATGTCAATCGGTGCCACTACTCCAAATAACTTCACGAACAAGTAGTGCACGAGCCACAGACGCTGGAGAGTTCTCAGTGTGTATTCAAAGGCTGAGCAAAACTTAAGTAAATACACTACAGTTTTCCAGACTGAGATCATAGCAATTGAACTGCTCCAGAGAAATAAAGGAGGGCAGCTATGACTTGTAGAGGTTTCTACACGTCAGGCAGGCAGCACTTGAGGTCTTAGCTTCATGCAAACTAAGGGCAAAAGTGTACCAAATTGTATGAAATCCCTGAAAGATGTAACACCAATGAACTGACCTTGGCATGGGTCCCTGAGCATTCAGGACATAGAGGCAATGAGAAAGAGGACATGTTGGTCAACAAAACAGGCAACTTGCCACATAAAATGATACATCTAATGAGTCCAAACATTGGTGGAGAAACAACCAGGGCAAGAGATGAAGAGATTCATAGAAGGTCCGGCTTCAAAGGAATTACTGAAAGGTAAACGCAACAGAGCCAGAATTCTGACTCCTGACTGGCACTGCTGCCTAAGAAGGTATGTGCACGAGATAGGAGTACTGACAGAAGAAATCCTGTGCAGATATTGCCAGAAAGAAGAACAGACCACAGAATACATTTTATGTTTTTATGAGGGTCTATGTACGAGCAGTTTCTTCTTAGGAGAGTAAAACCTGTTGGCAAGGGTATGGAGGTTGATCAACAACTGAAGCTGTCCAGTGAGTTTAAACATAGAGAAGCACAATAAATCTATTCAGGTTGAGGTGCGGAAGGCTTTGTGGTCGCCTCATTTATCCCTATCCTTAGCTCTATAATCCTTGAAAAATAGCAAAATATTTCTGTTTTATGAACATTGAAGTATCACAGCATTCTGATACAAAATAAATTTGTGAAATTTCAAAAAACAATAGCAAAAGATAATTATGAAAATTACTTTGTACATGGAAAACAAAATTAAAACCAACGAGAGCATAAATTCATCAAAATTTGATTTCAATACTAAAAGAAAAAAGAAAAATAATAACATACCATAAACTTTTCCACAGATGCTGGAATTCCAAGTGTTGCGGCATCCCGGATGACTTGAGAGCATGTGGTTTGCAAGTTGTGTGTAGCTCCTTTTGCATAGACCACACTGATTGCCCGAAACTGCTGAAAGCTGTTATTCAATTTTAGTTTAAAGTCTCTACTAAAATAATTAAAAATTTACATTCGAATAGGAGAGAGAGTTGACAGCTATGTCAGCAAGGGTTTGTGTACTCTGCGAACAGAGTGGTTGCGCCTCACCCCGTACGTGTTCCCTTTCTCGATACCGATCCAATGTACTGACTGAAAATATTTCAATGCATAGATATTACAATTAGACGATTAAATGGGAAAAAATTACCAGCTCGGTCAATCAAATAGCTCCTAATGTCGGAACAAGGTCTCCTTCTTGGTGCCAAATATCTACGGTGATGGGAAGAATCGACCTCAACTTCCCAGAGGTAGAGGTTGCCTATGCCCCGTGGGTCTGCCATCGGCGATGAGTCTATGCAAGGGGAAGATGCTGTACTCGTGCTTAATATGTCTGATTCAATGGAAGGGTTCTCTAACATCCAAGTGGCCAGCTGGTTTATTGCAGCAGCCGTAAATATCCCAGTATGGCCTGTATCGAACCAAAAATATATATTTTCATTTCAACAAATTACTCAAATAATTCTAAGAGTAAAGTTATGAAAATTGTCTCACCTGTGGCATGTATGGCTTTTTTTATGTGTCTCAGTGAAAAACCCATGTCTAATAATGGCGTGACAACTGGGATATGAGGAGGCGACGGTGACCTCATGTTCGTCAATGACTGAGATGCTGTCTGTTTTTCCTGCAACAACATCTGTGTCTGGTACGACGCAGAGGTGACAGTCGCCCAGTACGAGCTTCTACAAGCCTGCTGAATCCTCGAATCAAGTCTTCCTCGTGACGTCGATGGAATCGAAGGCTGATTATGTTCTGCAGTCGAAGCCTGGATCCAAAATGGATAAATTATCCGAATTATTCACTGGATAAGAATTATAAGTAAAAATACTTTACCTTGGATTGTTGGTGACCAACAGGGTAAGAATTGAACCGTTGGACATTTCCTAATGCTTTGACTCTTGCTTCGAGCTGTGGTACTCTGTGGTGGTGCTCGGCATTTGATTTTATATGATTGCTATGTATCACACTGATGACCCTCTCCAGATCTCTTATATTACTGAGCCAAGGCTGGATCGATCTTTCAATGCATCGTTCTACAAAACACCTAAGTATGAAGTGTAGCGTTTCTTTGAGCATTTCATCCTGTTCCAGTGAGACTTCTTTCTTAACCAATTCCTCGAGTCCCTAGTATAAAATAAAATTTTAAAACAAATGTATTAAAATTGATTCAAATTGTTATAAAATACCTCATCTTTTGGTGGCATTTTTATTTCAGATGATGGATCGAGTAGAATTTCAATGTATTTGTTGCAAGAGACGAATGTCGCGATCGTTTTCATGGCACACAACTGAAGGATGCATAGCCTCAATGTCTTCCCTTCGCACTCAAGTAGCTTGTTGTTGACAGCCCATTTCGCCGCTATACGCATGTCGAATTCCTTTTTCTGTGCTTCCAGGTCCTCTGAATTCTGTATTGTCACCTCGGCATTGCCTTTTCGGGTGATTTCACCGATTATGTTTGTCACCATCTGGTTAGAGAGGATCTCAACCGAACGGGAAAACTTCCCCTCCTGCCTGTTTTCTTCATCACTTTCAGCTGTATGTGAGATCAATTCTTCCTCTTTCGAAGACAAATTGTAATTGGGGAATTCCAACTAGAATGATTTTTTTTTATTAAATGAAAATTTCAAACCTGAATTTAATATATTTTCATAATACCTCTGATGTGAAGCCGCTCAGACGTGCCAAATACATCCAAATATCTGGTGAAAGATCCGGCAATTTGTAAGTGTCAAATGGAACTTCCTCAAAAGGTTCCAAACTTGTCAATGGACAGTCACTAGAAAAAATAGCCAATTGTTATTATAATCTATAATTATAGATAATATTATAATTAATCTATAATTATAGATAATAATATAATTAATCTATAATTATAGAAACATTAATTACTGGCATTAGCAATAATTATTAAATATGTTAGTCTTAATATGAGTTATTCCTGCAGTCCTAACCAAATAACTACCTAGAAAAGCCACCATGTACATATTGAATACTTTTACCGCGCACTAGCAGACAAGCTACTTCCCAAAGACCTGGGAAAATGTTGAAATAATAATGATCCATAAGACAGGAAAAGATATAAAGGTAGAGGATAATTATTGCCCCAGCAGTCTTCTCCCCATTGGAGGGTAAATATTTGAAACATTGTGCCAAAAGAAGAATTCTACCATCCTTCAAGAAATCATCCATCAATTTGAATTCTCACAACACCATCAACCTGCCAACAGGTATACATAATCACTGAAAATATATATGTATATATTTTTTTTAAGTAGCTGTATTTGTGGATTTACAGTGCAAGCTTTTGATAGAGTATGGTATAACGAGCTAAGATTAACTGAAAGAAATATGTATCCTAAAATATCTCTATGACATCTTATACCCCTTTCTATCAAACAGGAAGTTAAGGTCAGAGTCAATGGCAGCTTCTCTTCAGCAAAAGACATCAAGACATTCTATAAGGAGGTCCTCTCACCAATCCTGTTTAATTTGTATATCTATCTCTCCAGTTGGTGTGAATGTAGGAGTCTAAGCAACTGATTCAGCTATATACCTAGCTAGATGTCTCCAATCATGATATCTTATAGACTCAAAAAGCAGTTCAGGATACCAGATGAACTGGTAGCCCCATGGGCCAAATTTCGATGGATGAACAGATAAGACCAAGATCTAACCACTGACTGCCAACAACCAGGGTGGGTGATTCAAAAAGCTGGAATTTACAATGGATTGCGAGAAGCAATAAGCTCAACTCTGTATATGTGTGTATGTAGTACATACATGTGCAGCTTTGAGCTTATATAAATCAGTATAGTAAAGTAAACAAGGGTGTAATGTGCTCGCCTTGCTTAGCGACTGTTTACAAATAGTCATTTTGATATCTGAACCCCTAGGTGCCGGTTTTTTGAAAATCTAATGAACGTTTACAACTTTAAAATTGAAACAGTTATTGTACTAATTATTAGTTTATTTATTTATATTTTTTTAATCAGTTCTAAAACAAAAACATTCAACTTTTTTGTCTAACCTCACTGTGAAATCCATGTCATGCCACATGACTTTGACATTGGTCATTCCTTGTTTCAACGTTCCCAAAACAGTCGCTTTTCTACCCGACTGCTTGTGAAGACATACACCACCGACGCGCAGGCCATGATCAAGCCCGCCGATAACCGCCAAAGCGGGCCACACCTCTTTGCACAACTGGTCAAGATCTATTTCCTTCTGGGGCAAACTGCTCCCTGCATATTTATCAGTCAGGTCGACTGTAAAAAGACAGATTATAATAGTGAATATATATATATTTCCTAAATTTATTTCATATTTTACCGGCACTGTATTTCAAAGGTGAAAGATTATCTTCCCTCAAGTTCAATGGCAAGTCAGGCAGCAAATCCTTTGCTTGGTTTAATCTTTCCATAATACACTCATTCACCTGAAATTTAAAACATTTATTTTGTGAAAATCAACAAAAGCAAATTTTTAATAAAATAGCATTTTAAAAACATTGAATTACGTCTATGGGCCTAACTTGGCTTTATCCCTAACTTAACCTAATAGGAACCAGATCCAATAAAACATTATTAGCCTCCGACCATATTTTATATATTGGAGAGTTAACTATGTAGTTTGTTTTGCTAATATGAACCTAATACAATTTTGTATATCTCGTTCTTGTATCAGGGATATTCAACTTAACTCTTTCTAAAAGTTCCAGAAAACATAGTAAGTTATTTAACAATCTGAAACAAACCAAACGTAGCAAACTTTTCCACTCTTTTCTAGGAAATATACAATAACATTCAAAATCATTTATACAAATATTGAACAATAATGGGAACAAATTCACCCTTGGGGCACAAGCAAAACGAATAGTTTGGGTTTTTGGGATTTCTTAATTTTAGAACTTTTTACTTTTGTTATAGGTTTCAATTGTTGTAAACTGTTGATGCAGCCTAGTATAAACGAATAGAACCTATAATATTTATAAAATAACAACTGTAGTGAAAAACGGCAAAGAAGAGGGAAAACGCTCACATTAGAGTTTTTTGCATTTCCCGATTTCAGGTCTTTTTACTTTTGATATTCGTTTCTATTCTTGTAAACTATTATTGCAGGCTAGTACAAACGAATAGAACGTATAATATTAATAAAATAACAACTTCAGTGAAAAACGGCAAAGAAGGGATACAACACTCAGTTTTGAATTTTTCCGCATTTCACAATTTCAGAACTTTTTTCTTTTTTTATAAGTTTCTATTCTTCTAAACTGGTAATGCAGCCTAGTACAAACGAATAGATCGTATAATATTAATAAAATAACAACTTTAGTGAAAAACAGCAAAGTAGGGGTTCAACGCTCTGTTTTGAATTTTTCCGAATTTCCCAATTTCAAGACTTTTTACTTTTGTTATTCGTTTCTATTGTTGTAAACTGTTAATGCAGCCTAGTACAAACGACTAGTACGTATGACATTAATAAAATACCAACTTTACTGAAAAACGGCAAAGAAGGGGTACAACGCCCTGTTTTGAATTTTTCCGCATTTCCCAATTTCAAGACTTTATACTTTCGTTATTCGGTTCTATTGTTGTAAACTGTTAATGCAGGCTAGTACAAACAAATAGGACCTATAATATTAATAAAATAACAACTTTTGTGGAAAACAGCAAAGAAGGGGTACAACGCCCTGTTTTGAATTTTTCCGAATTTCCCAATTTCAAGACTTTATACTTTTGTTATTCGTTTCTATTGTTGTAAACTGTTAATGCAGCCTAGTACAAACGACTAGTACGTATGACATTAATAAAATACCAACTTTACTGAAAAACGGCAAAGAAGGGGTACAACGCCCTGTTTTGAATTTTTCCGCATTTCCCAATTTCAAGACTTTATACTTTCGTTATTCGTTTCTATTGTTGTAAACTGTTAATGCAGGCTAGTACAAACAAATAGGACCTATAATATTAATAAAATAACAACTTTTGTGGAAAACAGCAAAGAAGGGGTAAAATGCTCAGTTTTGAATTTTTCCGCATTTCCCAATTTCAAGACTTTTTTTCTTTTTTTATTAGTTTCCATTATTGTCAACTGTTTATTCAACAAAAAAATAGTACGTGTAATATTCATAAAATAACAATTAAAGTGGAAAACTGCAAAGAAGTGTTGCTTTTTCGCATTTACTCATTTCAGGAGTTTTAAATGTTTACCTATCTAATCTAACCCTTCCTAATCTAATTTAACTCAACTGATCAATTTTGAAATCAATGAGGCAATAATGAAAAAACAAATTTTATATCCCTCCCAAAAACAATTATAAATATTACTAATATTTCACAAAAATGCAAAATTATGGTTTTACTTAATTTACCTGTGGACCCCAGTATTCAGTATTGTGCAATGTTCTGATCAGTGTGATGTAAGCTTCGGTCATCAGAATTGGAACTGGTGCACATTGAGGGTCACCGGCGAGCAGCTCTCTTGGTGCACCACTTATTTGCATTTCGGTGATTTTGACCTACAACCGATTATTTCAGTTATTAGTTCAATTTTAATTTGGTTTTAATATTAAACTTACCTTTTCACCAGGGTTTGTGCTGTAAAAGAGAACACACGGGTACAAAGGTGCTGACAGGTCCAATTCTTGAAATGCGATAATCGGCTCATCACCATTCTTCCCGAAGCTCAAGGTCCTCGCATCCATGTCAAGGACTGTCGTTATGATATCACCTTGTGTAAACGATGGAAGGCTGAGACGTAGTTCTCCTCCATGGTAAAGATTTCCACTTAAAGGAAAAAACTTTTTGTTCTCATACTGAACTCATATTGAAATATTATACTTGAAATTATAATTTTTCAATAACTTCCAAGAATATCAAAGTAATTGTGAGATTTCCTCTTTGGGTCTGTGGGGTGTTAACTCTGTAATTTGATTGTTTTTGATCATGTTGGTCTGTCAGATCCGTTCCCGCTTTTTCTATTTGAAAGGTGTATGTGTAATTTTCGGTTAGTTGGATCCTTTTTTATGATAATAATCTAATAACAATGGTGAAAAGACAAAATGCTACTGATGGCCTAAAATAGAGAGGATAAGCAGACCAAAATTGATCAAAAATTACCGTAATATTCCAACAAACATATTCAAATAAGCAGAGATTGCCCATCTATAAATATCAAATTAGTTCGGTTGTTACCGATTATTTTGGTTGGCCTCACTGGTTTGGTCTGTTATCTTCAGGGCTGTCTGCCATCATCAGAAACAACCAAACTACAGGTTCATCAACTCAGACCACAGGGAAAAATCTCAAATTAAGAAAATACATAGATTTGAGCAGGATTGTTTATTTCCACCCTACCAAAATACTACCTCAGTCTGCCATACCTGTAAGCGCGATAGAGCCACATCTCTTTTGTCGTTCTGTGACTGTAATCCTGAAAAGGCCACTTGGCTAGACCAATACAAGTTCCTTCGTTCCCTTTGTGTTCTTTTGTAATTATAAATTTCCACTGGTAACAGCCTGAAGTAATGGAAATATTGCCCAGGCCGTAGCCCCTGCCCCCCTTCCCGTGGACGAGCATGTTCCCTCCATCGACCGTACAGCACATGACTTTTTCAGGATCAAAGCCTATTTCCATCATGAGCGTGCTGTCGTTTGCATTCACGTTGTTCATAGTAGTGCTTGCTGCTGGGGGACAAAACAATTCAAATTAAATCGTCAAAGCTGATTATATTAAAATGCTTACAAGGGCTAGTCAGTCTGCCCAGATGTATGTCGAGATCCATTTCTTTCAAATACGCTTTTCTTTCGGCTAGGGTTTGTGGGATAACCCACATATTAGCAGACAACTGGCGAAACAACACCCTTACAACCTAAAGTACATTATTAAAAATTAATTTACATTGAAATTACAGTACCAGTTACACAGTAATTACTGCATAATTATATAACTGATACCTGTTCTTTGTCCTCCTGTGTTGCTTTCTGTGATGGTAAGAGTTTAGCCAGAAGTTCTAGAATTAGAAGCCGGGGTTTGAGCACTGTAAGGTAAGAGTGGCCGGCTCGGCTTACATTTAAGAGAGCGAGAAGAGCGCCAGTCCATGAGCTCGCGCTGAGCACTTCCCTAATTATCGGTGAGCAACACATGCTCACAACAAGGAGAAGGAGGTCGCTCAAATGGTATTCCATTTCTTTTGTGTCAGTTAACAGCAAAGAGCTAATAAAAAAAAAATAATAATAATAATAAAAACCCAGTTAGTATTGGAAAAATAAATTATCAACTTGATACTCACAAGTCTGGGCTAGATTCAACAGATGGGCTTAAAAGCTTAACTATATTTTCCAGATATGTGTGCAGAACTTTTACAACACTGTTAATCACAGCTGGTTCTAGGATTTCAGCATGGATTCTACAAAAGAAAAAAATTACTAACTCAAAGAGCAATATTTAAAAAAAATTCAATAAATTGTACGTTGTTGAAATTGCGATAATTCGTATGAGATTAATGCTTGCTTTGGAAAGCGTGCTCTTGGGTTCAACAAGAGCTATCTCGACGAGTACGGGCAGAAGTTCACACTCGACGACATGCTTCAAATCTTTCGGGAAATATTTAACACTCAAAGTGTATAAAGTGAGCGTCTGCAGTTTTTGAGATTTGACTGTTAAACAAAAACTTTTGTTAACACAAGTAAAGACAATTAAATAGATGGTTTAAATTGCAAGGAAAAAAGGCCTCAAAATAAATTGCATTTTCTTCCAAAACTTTTTAAAATATTTTTCTATGGGTAATTTCATAGTAAAACCTTAAGGTAAAATGCAAAATTGATTTACCATCATCACAGTTGTGCAGCCTGTACTTGATAGAAGCGATCATTATCGAGTATATTGAGTGAATGGCTTTGGTCACTTCATCTTTGATGGAAGGCAGCGCCGTTCTGATATGATCGAGATAGTCATACAGTTGGTGGCTTGACAGCTCATCACAAAGGCCAAAACAGCCGCTTAAAAGATGTTCATGAACCTAAGAAAAAAACAACCGTTAAAACAACTTTTTGTGACCTATTCAGTCCTTTACTTACACAATTTAGTAACATGGACGGTGATCCTTCAGTGCAACCATTTTCATCCAAATCCTTATTGGTTTGCAACAGCTCAAGTATTTGGTGAAGCGCATTCAAACGAATCTTTAATTAAATAATTTTTTTGTAAATATGTATATTAAAAAAATAATTGCAAGATTTAACTTACCTCTGCCCTCTCCTGTTCCATTGACATTGCACTAAAAAGGGTAGAAAAATCTGTACAACTGCCTTCATCGATCCCAGAAGAGAGGTATTTGCCTTTACAAACACCAAGTACAAAATTCATTATCAAAGCACACGATTCATGGAGTTTGCAGGAGGTGCTTCCTCTCAGATCTTCACTCGGTCTTAAAAAAAATATTAAATTAAATAAAAAAATTCAACAATTAACCCTTACAAAACATTCAAATTTTTTTTTTTAAATACCTTGTAACAAAAACACTGCTTTCATGAGTGCATTTCTCTTCTGATTTATCGAACCAAGGCCGGGAATTTGGACCCCTGACGGCAACGAGTAGGAAAATACACCTATCTTCTAACTTGGTACACATTTTTTTAATCTTGTCCTCTCCTATGTCTAAACTTTCACTACACTGGTCCTCTTCAGTCTCTTTATCACAGCAAAGCAATGAACAGCGGAGTCTAAGCGCTGTCCGGTAAAGCTCGAGCATGCTCGGATCGTTCCAAACACCACTACAAATCAAAACATGAAATTTTTAATATCAATGACTTAAGAAAATATAAATAAAATTCTGTTACGTCTTATAAGGATTGACTCCTGTGTGTTTAATTAAGCACAATAAAAATATCCTTGTTACGGTGATCAAAGGAATGTTATCAAGAATATTTCCTAAATCGACAGATGAAGCGTATTCTCTCAAGCTGCACAGGAGTTTATCGTTTTCTATTTCTTTTTCTGAAAAGTGCAGATATCCTGCAAAAAACATCAAATATAAGGAAATTATTATATGGAAGAAGTAAACTTCTTTACCTTTGTCCTCATCAGAAAAAATATCCCTTAAAAAATGGGATTCTTTCAGACCTATCGTTTCCATATATTTGTCATAAAGTTCATAAGGTTTCACTTGTTTATATTCATTTTCAATTGATGAAAAAATATCGATAATACTTCCTAGAATGATTAAAAAACACATACAACACTGTTTAAAAGAAATAATTTTAAAAAATATAGTCTCACTTATGTCGTAAGTGTTTGAAAGCTCTTCTAAGCCATAGTGGAAGAGACTTTCATTGAGCCAAACTAAAGTTTCCTTTTCCTGGGTGCTGAGAGGAGGTCCTGCAACCATCCCGCCGAAGCACTGGCCGACAACAAGGCCGCAAGCCCTTTCCAGGTCAATTGCCCAAGCCCAAGTATTTTTCGGGTTTGGATCCGTCACAGTAGGCGTGTTGGCTTCTGAAGACAGGCAAAAATACAAACGAATGCTCCAATCGATTATTTTTTTTTTTACTTTTTTTTTTTTTTACTTTTTTTACTATGTTACCTGAATCCTCCCCGTCATATGGGATGAGCCGGTTGAACTTGTCAAGCGGTGATAAAAGGGTGATCAAATCGCTAAGCAAAGGCTGTACGAATCCAATAGAGAAAATTAACATGGAATGGACTAAATTGGAAAGCAGATATCCCGCTAAAGAATAGTACAACACATCTAGAAAAAAATTATTTAAAAAATAAATTTCTAAGTTTCTAATCAGCATAATTATTCATAATATGATGATAAACAAACAAAAAAAAAAAAATTCAACCTTTCTAAACATTTATTGAATTTAAATTACTCACTATCTAGAAAAGCAGGTCAAAAAGGAATGATGTAAAAATTAAAAAACTTTTCAAAATCAATGGAATTGTGTTTCTACCTGACCTGGCTCCTTCAGACTACCATTACTTTCAAACAAAGATTACACTAAAGGGGGTATACAAATTTTGGTGTCATAAATCTTTTTTTTTTAGTTAAACTAGAACTTCTTTCTCACCATTTGGAATACAGATTTGCAATTTTGAGTACTATTATTTAAAAATTTTGACCAAAAATTTTCAATTGTTTCATTAAACCAGAGTTTTATGTGCATCGCTTGGTGCAAAAAGAATTTGTAATTTCGAGCACCAGAAATGATAACAAAAAATTTGGAAAATTTTGTTCAAAGATTTTATATTTTCTTTCATTTTAATAAATCTTAAATAAAATATAAAAATAATTTGAATTAAAAAAATGTCTAATACCAAAACCAGTCAACCATCCCCTAAGGGCATCACAAAAATTAAATGTTTATGGGAAAAACATCATTTGATGTGCTACGTGAGTTTATATTATACACTAAAAATGTATTATATTTTCATAATGTTACGGAAATATTTGTATGAAATAGTGAAAAATGGAGCAATATTTGGTTAAATTTTTTTTTTTAAATTCTTTAAGGTTTAGTTTAGTTTACTAAATATTTGATAAGCTAGTGAATTGAACAATTCATTTGTTTTACCCCCCCCCAAAAAAAAAAACAAAAAAAACTGTTGAATCAAGTTTAAAATTTTACTATAGAAAAACTAAAAGGCATTCATGTCTATTACCACATAGACGATCAATGTAGGCTGGGTGAGATTCCATAATCGATGACATCCTCGTGAACATTTTCCCTGCTAAAAGCAGAAGCATTTTAATATGATTGTGAAGAAGTTTGGAAGAACCCTGTGTCTAAAATGGAAATCCGAATAAGCCAATTTTTCTTAATGGTCAAATCAAGAATATCATACCAAATCGGTGTTTGTGGATGAATGGGATAGAAGGTGAGTGTGGAGCGATGTCAGCAGGTCTTGCAGATGGCAAGAATTGTTCAGTCTTATCCTCCAAACACTCTCGGGCACGTCGCCTTTCTCAAGATGACTCTCGATCAAATCAAGCAACTCGAACTGAAAGAAAAAGAAACATTTGTGAAAACCTGCAGTTGTCAGTATCATCGCTTTACCGTCTGTACGCTCAAGTTTTGCAGGAGCGTTTCCAGGAGGTTTTCTATGAGTTTGAAGTCTTTTGATTTTAGATTCTGGCATTCGGCCTCTTTGGACCCACATTGTATTATCAAGGACCTCAACTGACTTCGCTCTTCAAGGCTTGCGACAATAATATTTAAGAGCATTTTCTGCAAAAATAAAAATTATCAAGAAAAAATTATGGCTTTAATCTTTAATTTAAATAATTTCTTAACATGGGTCCTTTACAGTTGGACAGTCTAATAACTTGATATTCGATCAACTTTTTATTTTTCATGCTAATTATATATATATATATATATAATTCACCTGTCCTTTTGAAAGATTGGACCCGTAAGAAAGGAGAGAGTGTAAGAGTTCCAATCTTTGCCGTAATGGTGGCAGCAGAAGAGATGCACCGACAGCCAGGCACTCGGTCACAAGAAGCGATATTGATTTGGGAGTAGGAAGGTCCACTAGCCTATGTTGAACACAATAAAAATAACAGCACTGACAAACGATTTACAACGTTTAAAACTAACTTGAAGAGATATTGGCAGAGGAGTTCGGCCTGATTACCACAGATGATTGAGCATGCCAAATCAACATTTACAATTTGCGATAATGAGAGGTGAGTACAGAGGAGTCGAAGACAGAGCACAGCAAATAGTTCATGTTCTCTATATAAACAAATATTTATGAGAAAAGGACAAAATTAGCAATGAATTAACATACTCATGATTGCTGAATGGAGATTGAACATCGCCTTCGAATGTACTGCAGTAGCACTGCAGAAATTGTAAAAGGAGTGAAAAAGTGCCTTCTTTGAGTTCGACGCAAAATGGGCAGTGCCAAGCTAAGGCCTCACTGAAACTAGGTTAAACATCGTCTTTTTTACTTTTTCTTTTACAAACAGAGTGGAGTCCGCTAGTCCGAACTAATTTGGACTGAGACCTGTTCGAATTGGCTGAGCCATAAATATTGCAGAAGTAAATAATAAAACTGGTCTGATTTATTAAGGACTGGATAATTTTGGTCTGTCACCATCTTTGTTGTAGTCTGTCAAATGCTTTTGGCTTCTTATCATCTTTACCTTTTAATAGTTAAAAACGTTCATTTAAGATGGCAAGAATTATTTCTGATGGGGTAATACAGGGATAATAAACAGACTAAAATGTGTATAAATGACCAAACTATAGGTCAATCATGCTGCATATCTCAGAACTAACAATTTAAGGGAGAAAATGATTCACCAGCAGAGTTTAGTATGAAAGGCCATTTAAATTTAACTACAAAATAAATACAAAAAAATAAAAAATTCAAATTAGGTGAACTTTCAGATTTGCGAGACTCCATTATGTTATCATTATTAAAATAATACTTACTTGCCACATGGTGGTGACGACCAGGCAGCACTGTGTGAAGTCCCAGCAGACACAACATTGACCATCCCGCTGTCCATGCCGGCAACCATTTGTGGACGTCCGATAGGCGATGTTGTGCAGCCGAGACCACATTGGCCGAACGTGTTCATGCCCCATGCATAAACATTACCATCGTTCGTCACTGCCAGGCAATGGGTTTCACCGGCAGCGATGTCCACTATGTGCATCGGTGCCAATGTGCTGATGGCTTCTGGATAAAGTGACACCTCCTCATAGCCACCACCCAGCCCTAGACAGTCACCCGTTCCCCATGCAAGCACCTTGAAAAGAAAAATTTCTGTGATTAATAAATGTTAATAATGATTATTTAGAGACCATGAGGTGCGGTCTGGTGTGACACAGGTTTTAGAAAAATATTTTCTTTATCATGCCTGATGTTTTTCATTCACGACAATTTCTTTGACATGATAAAGAAAATGTTTTTCTAAAACCTACGTCACACCAGACAGCACCTCACGGTCTCTAAATAATCATTGGCTAACAGTCATTAAACACCACACAAATATTATTAATATTAATTATGTTCAATTATGAAAGCAGCAAATATAGTAAAACATCTAATATCTGTGGTAATGATAGGGAATCAAAAAATCAAAAACCTTGGAGCGTTAAATAAAAGGTGAATTATTAGGTATCTAACAGAAAAATTTTGTTAAAAAAAATGTTGTTTCAAAAAATCATAAAATTTTCAAAAGGCCACATCGAAAAACACTTCACAGTAACACTGACAAAGTGTTCCTAAGGGATGGTTAGGGATGGTTGGTATGCAGAAAGAGGGGATAGCCACCCATCAGGTGGAATGGAGAACTCTGCTATCTCCCAGGAACCCAGGTGTTTATTAGATTATTAACAAATTTTTGCTTTATTTATCAGTGAAGTTATAGTTTGTGATGTTAAAAAGTAAATTTGTGTTGTTACCCAGTTATACTATTGAGGTTATTTTTTGGTGACAAAAAAATTAAATAAAAAAAAAGCCTGTAACACCAATTTGATTCCAAAATTCCCCCCCAACACCCTACAACAAGCTTTGAAAGCAGGGTGCAGAGGAGGTGCATCTCTCTGGAAAGTCTATAACTGAGGAAGGGTAAAAAAAATATGCTTTTCCAGAAAGACGCACCTCTTCTGGAAAACTTCTATGGAAAGATGGTGTTCTTCAAATCAGCAGTGACTTGTTCGTATGCAAAATATATACCTGTACACACAGTATAAATATACGGAGACCCGGGGCCCGATAATGGAGGTTTTACTGTATTTAACTTTTTTTTATTATTTAAATTATTCACCTACAATTATCTTTTATTATATTACTATTTATTTTGCTAAAAATTATACAATAAATTGTCAAAATTACATTTAAAGCATTCAATTTACTCACTGTTCCACTGTTTGTGAGTGCAAGGGAAAAACAGTTTCCAGCAACGACTTTACGAATGTAAAGATTCTGGAGGGCAGCTATGACAGTTGGTTTGTATTTGTTCGATGTATTGCCATGGCCGAGTTTGCCGCCTTCACCTGAGCCGAAGGACCACACCGTTTTACCATTCGCTGATAGGACAAGTGTATGTGAGTTGCCACAGGCAACGGAGCCTGCTCCTGAGACCTCAGGAACGAGAGTCGGTATGCTCCGGCCCAAACGATCGCCTAAACCTGTAGATTAATTATTCATTTGAGATTATTCGATTTAATTAATAGAAAGTGTGCAGACCTAATCTCCCTTGATCACCCTCTCCCCAGGTGTAAAGAGAACCGTCTTCCGACACGGCTGCACTGTGTCGAAATCCAACACTGACCCATACGATTTTAAGCGTTTTAAAAGGTGCCTCAATTAATTTAGGCTGTCGTTGAGTCATACTGTTTGCATGTCCTAATTTCCCATATTCTCCTAAATGAAATTATATTAATTTTAAACTGATTCATTTGTTTTCTCCTTTTTTTAATTGTAAATATACGGACCGTCCCCCCAGCTGAAAACCTGCCCGTCTTCTGAAAGAGCGAGTGAATGACCATCACCTCCTTTAGACGAAGCGACCATTTTGATCTTGGATTCAAATGGGACCCTTTTGAGTGTTGTCTGGCTGCTGGAATCACCAAGGCCTAATCTTCCATAGGTGCCTTTACCACATGCCGTCACATCTCCATTAGTGTGAACAACAAAAGTGCAATGCTGTCCTGCCTCAATCTAAAATTTATTTAGAACAAACCAAATAAGTGACACAAAACTTAAATAAACTACTAAAAACTATATATTAAAATAATATCTAACATATCTTCCTATCGTTTATAATAAAATAATAGTATACAACACATATCTATGGTGTACAATGTTAAATATAATTTAACTTTCATACATCTTTTTTTATAAAACCTCAGCCCTAATTTTTTTTTTTTAATTTATTATTTATTGTTATTACTTTATTCTTATTTTTTTAACATGTGCCAAGTTGAGCCTATTTGCTTCACACCGTTATTTGGTTCACCAACAATTCCAGCTTTTGCTATTTACAGTAAATTGCCAACAGAATGGAGAATCACCCACCCCAGGTGTTGGCAGTCCGGGGGGCAGACATCTCATCAGTCCAGCCACCCAGGTTGGGGTCCAGGTGCTAGCCACTACTAGGTCAATTCAGCACCCATCACATGCAGTTTCAAGCCCATTCCTTCCTCTTTACATTAAGGTGATGGAGTACTTGATATTCCTCCATCGCCCTTTGTATCTATTATAGGGGGAACTCAATATTCCATAGACCTCCATCACAACACACACTCACGCCAGTAAGTACATTCATGCTAATAAATACATTCACTACAATAAGTACATTCGTGCTAATAAATACATTCACTCTCAATACTAGTTAGTATACACAACTATTATTACTATATACAATGGAATAACCATGTTTCCTCCTAAACTCAGAACAATGGGCCCAGTCACTTGCGACCATGATCAAGCACAATTCTCAAATCGAGTGGCATTCCTGTGTGTTCTCTACATGGAGCCAAGGAATTCCACCCTTCAATTAGGTGGGACATTTCTCTGTCGACCCAGCCCACCGATGGTTCCCACTTTTTTTAATGAATTTTTTTTTTTGCATTTTTTGCATCAGAAGGTACACAGACAACAAGCACTGCTTTTCCGAGATGTACCTAGTTCATGGTGTTTACGCCAAAGCGTAATTTATTATATTTTCTTGTTAAAAATTACTTAATTAAAAAATGTCTTATTACAATTCAATTTAGTTATCTTTATTTTAAGCCTCCGACCTCTGATTGGCCTGCCGAATGAAGAAAGGCTTAATTGGCGAACGGTGTGAGGCTCCTCTCTTGTTTTTTCAGTCAGTTGTTCAGTACCCTCTCGTTTTTCTCTCTGGCCGTGCGCCTAGTTGTTCCCAATTAAAAAACTTAGTTAAGTATCTTTCCCTTCTCAACGTATTTCTCCTTTGTATCAAATTGTCAACCACATTTCCTCAACATTCCCGAAGGAAAACTCTAAGGCCTTGGAGCGGACCGACAGGCATTATTCTGCTGGAGCGAATTATAAGGTAAGTGAAGCATTGCTACTCTCGGCGAGTGATTTTCTCGTTTTTCTTTATGTTGTTTATTTAAGAAGAAGAAAATTTATTATTTTTTATTTTAATTACAATAAGCCTACGGCTTAATTACATGATATTTATCACTTAAAAGTGCACAACAAGAGGGTCGATGGACCTGTAATGGACAGCAGTACTCATGCTGAGGAAGTCTGAGGAGACTAGGTAAGCAGAGTCACCATGACCGCACAATTTATTACAAATAATAAATCATCACAATTATTTTTGTTGAGCTTATAATGTATTTTTTTAAATGATTATTTTGTTCTTCTCTATTCCATTATAAATTATTTGTATTATTATCAGAGTGATGAAACTAATTTGTTTATATAATTATACAAAGATTTATAAATATAAAATCTTACTTGTTTGACATTGTTGAAAGCTGCTGATTTTTTAGGTTTCCATACCAATATTGCATCTGCTTTTTCCTCAGCGAGTTGGTTCGAGGAATTGCTTCCCCAAATGTAAACTCCATTCTTGTCCGATTCGTACTCGACCATCTGACCCATCCCCCAGCTCCTCGAGTAGTCACCGGCCAAGCCGACCACCTGTGAAATATAACAAGTCAGGTGCGATTGCTTGTTTGATTTCTGCTGAAAAACTTACAACTTGCATGAGAATAATAGCAGCCTTGTATAACGGTATCATCGGTTCTAGGTTGTCCCTGAGTGGGATGCAGATCTGAGAGCTCATTGAAGCAATCGCGGCTGTGAAGGCATCTTTGTTAATGAAACTTGTATTGCTGGAGCATTTGAGAGCCATCGAAATCCATTTGAGAAGGTGTGGCAGGGAACCTCTTTGAATTGCAATGAGTAAAAGAAGTTCACAAGCAAGCTGGCGATCTGAAATTGTTCAATAATCACAATCTAGCCTAGGCTTAGATCAAGTCGATTATTCTCAGAAGCTTAGTAAAAATTACAATTGCTTCATGTTATTTTTCTGTTAAATATATGGTTGTTTTATAATGGCTTTCATGTCTATTATTTGTAACAAAAATATTGTTTATAAGCATATTAAATAGGTTTCCTATAAAAGTTTTATTATAATGCAGATAGTTACTAAAAATATCAGAACGTGTTGAAACAAATTTACCTTTTTCTAACCTAACTGTAATCTTCTGAGCATAATTTGAGGTTTCAATTTTGTGGATTTGAAGGTTCGCAACGTCCCTATTAACTTACCTTCTGCTAAGGCTTCAGAAGATGGGTCTGCAACCGAAGTCAAAAAGTCGCAGACGCGTGTCAAAGTTTCAACACCGAGGGCCGAGAGCTGGTTTTCATTTGAGAGAGAAAGAGCAGGCAGTGACCTGACGACTTCCAACGCCGTACGTAAGACATCTCCACACAACGTACTCCTCGGGCTATCTGCAAAAATAAAAAATTGCCAATAACCTGATTTACAGAAAAAAAGTCAAAGGTAAAATTACCAGGCATCTGTGAGAACTGCCAACTTTGTCTAAGCAAAGCGAAAAATAAAGACAGGCCCGATCTGATAGCGACTTCCACCAAAGCTTGCGACCCTGTCATCTGAGATCTATCGATGATGACTTCAGTTGCAAATTTATCGTCTCCACCGTCAAGCGAATCATCTCCTTGTGACTAAGGAAATCAAATAACCTTCCATTAATAACAATAAATAGCATTTGGTTTTAAAAATAGTCTTAATATTTTTATTGATTAACTGTAAGATTTGTTCTCAAAGTTTGCAGGATGATGAACCTACAAAACAAGCCTGACAGACCGAATCTATAATAAGCAGACCAAAATGATTGTAAATGACTAGTCATGTTTTGACGTCATGCCATCTTTAGCATTGGATCAGGATTAAAAGGAGGAAGAAGAAAAACAATAAGTCCTTTTATATTGCTCTGCTATTGAAGATGACGAGAAAACAATACTTATCAGACACATCAAAACATTTGTGACCAGACCAAAATGATTTGTGCTCATTATTGGCAAATTTTTTTTCAATTGGGTGTCATAGATGAAGGGTCAAACTACTTTACACAACTTTTTTCGTACAGTTCTACATTAAAAAGCCACGGACTGTTCAAAATCCAGATCCTCTAGTGTGAAAAACAACTCGGACACCATAGGTCTCTAGGTCTATGAATAGATATACTCATGTTGAATTGATCAACAATGATTGCTTATTTTGTTATGTTCCACTAATACACTTTTTGGCTTTGCTATCTTCAATGAAGAACTGTCAAAGCAGACACATAAGAAATTAGCAAGACTTGGCCCAGAAATGTGAGCAGTATCTAGTCATTTCCTACTATTCTGGTTTGCTTATGTTTGTTATTTGGTGTTATTTGGTATATAAGATGCATTTCAGATTCTGAAGTCTGAAGAGCTATTTTCTGTACTGGGTCTGTAATTTTATTATTTATATCTGTATAAGTTATATGTTTTATGAGTCTAGGCTTCTTCTTCTGTAAGGCATGTTTTGGCCCATTGTCAGTTCCAGTGGTTCTCAGTCTTTGCATCTTTACAGAATTTTCCTAATTTTTTATTATTGAAGAATATTTCAAAGAAAATATTTTTGTTTTTGTTTTAAAGAAAAAAATATGTGAACTCTACAATAGGAATGCCATTTTTTGGCCAACGTTTCCACCTTTTTTCGCATCATCTTCAGGGCCTGGGTGAATTATAAAAAATACCTAGTTTGGAAAAATGCAAAAAGGATATATATATAAATTTTCAATCGAGTATTTCATACTCACATAATGTGCAGTGTCAAACTGCCTATGATCAAAGAAAATTTCCCAGGTTTACCATATCCCCTACCCTGTCATAATGAAATAAAAACAGGAGAATACAAATGTTTTACATATTACATATACATATTCATGTTTTACAACAATTTCACACAAAACAAATATGACACTACAAGAGTAACACCTCGCTTTATGTGAGTATGCAATATTGTACATGTTCAAAATTTATATTTACATTTTTATTGTATTTTTTCCAATCAACTTATGTTTGAAATTCACCCTGGTCCTGAAGAAGACCCAAACAAAGGTCAAAACATCGGCAAAAAAATTAAAAAGGTGTTTTTGTAAAATACTTCTCTCTTGACCGCTCCTCATGACTTCAACAAATTATTGGACAATTGGTCGCTAAAAACACTCTTTCCAGAAAGTCGAACCATTGTTTCAAAACTTTATTGTGAAAGGTCCCAAAAAATGTACGTTGGACCATCCTCAATACCCAGGATAAGTAAATAGAAATTGGTTTTATTTCAACAAGATAATGCTCGACCTTAACATGTATTTTAAAAAAATCCAACACTTGGCATCAAGATGACAACAAACCACAGAACACAATGGTATATAGTAATTCCTATATGCATTTAGCAGTCATAATTAACTGTATTAATTAATTTAATTAATTATATTTTTAATCTAAGGTCTTGGTAGAAATGAAAAACAAAGAGTCACAAGTGGCATTTGAACCCACGACCTTCAGCTCAATACGTCTTGGCGGGATCAGACCTCAGTGATCCTGAATTTGGTCCCAACCCCTTCAAAAATTAGTTTCTTCAATGGAAGAACACCAGCTCACCAGGGGCTCAAATTCACACACGAACCCCCCAAAATGGAGCCAGGAAGGAAGTACAATAAGCTGTAGTACACAGCTGAGTGCTCAGGGTGAACTCTTCCAGTTCCTGGTATCCACTAGAAAAACAAAAGGGGGGGATCATATGGACAACTTTTTACTATGAAGCTTTGTGTAATTGAAGGTCATAGAGGCTGCTAAAATGCCGCAACAGCTAATGAAGTTGTGTTAGTAATAGTAGGTCAAGAATTGGAGAATTATATTAAAAAGCACTCCATATCGCGGTAAAAATGTACATTAAAACAGTGGACAAAGTCACGGATAAAAGCTAGTATCAGTATAATTACTACTGTCGGTCAATTCTATCAATAATTTATAATGAGAAATGATTAAACTTCATTACCACACAGACCCAAGAGGGGGTTTTTAAACTTAAAAGTGATTTTTGTTGCCGAGGCAAGTGCGTTAACTTACTACCTCTTTCGGGTCATATCTGACAGCAGTGAAAGCATAGAGGATCCGCTTGAGGAGCGTCAACCGCTGGTTGAGAATTATGCAATAGGTCGACTCGCTCCTGGAGCTCTTGGCCAGTCTGCGCTGGACCTGGAGCAATGAGAACACATGCTGTTCCAACTCGGCGAAGGTGTAGCTCGCAGTGTATTCAGGCTGCCTGCTGTAAGGAGGCTGAGCGACCGGCAGCGTTACCAGCTCCTACGGAAAGGAGAAAACTGTAATATTCTATAAAACGGTTGGGTCTGGATTCAGCAAAGAGTACTTACTTTGTTCGCTAGAAGGCTGTCATAGAGCAGCTGGGCACCTTCCCTCGTCGCTATGTTGTCGATGCGCTCCGATGCCCAGGACGAGTTGAACAGGTCGAGCCACCTCGGTTTAAAGTAGTAAGACGGGTTCGACATATTTTTCTACGTTTTCAAACGCAAAACGAGACCTGGAATCTTATCAAAACCGTCCTGATAAACAAGTCACGAGCGAACGTCGGGTGGCCCTGCTCGATCCGAAAGGACATTTTCTAAGATTTTGCACCTTTTGTTTAATTTGATTATTTTTTTGTTTTTTTCTGGAAGCGGTTCGAATTTGTTGGCTCGAAGGGAAAAGCAGCGAAAACAACAATTGAGATAACCACAGTTCCCGTCAGCTAACAGCCACCAACACTTCCACTTGACATATCAGTGTTGCCAATTGATTCAGAACCGATCAAACTGGATGAGTTTCCCCAACCCCAACACAATAAAAAATTCTAAAAAATTGACAAATTTTAACTGTTTTCCTCCTCTCATTGATGGAAATTTGGAAATGATAAACAAAACTACCTCCATATATAGCGACGATGAACCACCAAACTGCATGTTGATTTTAGTTTTAATTTTTTTTAAAACTATCTCCTCGGTTAAAAAACATTTCACTTCTTTTGACTATTCAGAAATAATTTTTGACTAAAATAGACAATCTGAACATAATGATGGGGAGGAATTAAACTCTTTTTCACAATAGGCATGCATTATGTAAAAGACAATTTATTTCCTACCTACCAACTTATTATGGAGTTCCACAAAATCACACTGTCAAGAAAACTATATGTAACAGCTTACCCCATATTTACAGATGGGGCAATAAAAAAACTGTTTATATGTCCCTCTATAAAATTTGAAAAAAAATTAAACCCCTCAAAAATGAACTACACTCAGCAGAACTAGTGGATATTCTGCCAGCGTTGCAATAATTTCTATAACTAAACTCAACTCAGAAAAGTTGTGTACTTTGTCGAACTGGAAAATGTTACAAACTTTGACATAAAGTTAGACAGCAACTACACTCATGATAGTTAAGATAACCAAAGAGCCTGTATTTAATTTTAAAAATGTATTTATATAAATTGTATATTATAAACTAAATAAAGATAAATAATAATAAAAATTAACAAACCACCCTTAAATTTTAATCTACATATTTTGGTTCATACATATTTTGTGAACAAAAAATAGATTTGGTTGTAAAAAAAGACAGGAAAAGATATTTAAAAAGAAAATATTTATTACATAACTATGAAAAACAATTTTAAAAAAAAACTTGTTGAGTAAAGAAAAAAATTTAAAATAACTTTCTTGTTCCCTTTAATACTAAGCATTTCCACCAATGGCATGGTGACTCCACCAAATCTCATCCATTAGGCCTCTGCATTCCTTTGAAAAGATTTCTGGTAAAATCCTGCGGAATTCTTTCCCATTTATTAAGAACCATCGTTTCCAACTTTTCTAGGTTGTTAGGACCTGAATTTCGCTTATGTACTAGTTGCTTTGGTCAGTCCCAAAAGTGTTAACCTCATTTAGGTCTGTACATGCTCTACGGGGCGTAGCATTATCCTGAATTAGCCAGAATCTCTCACCAATATAGAGAGCAAATGTCTACAAATTCTTTGGTTATGTCTTCTAAGTACTTCTGTGAAGTTAGAGATCTTCCTTGCGCAACAATCACTTTTGTGCGGGCATCCAAGGAAATGCCACCTCAAGAACATCAATGACTCACCATAGAATGCTGAGCACACAGCCCTGTGACAAATAAATAAATAATAAAGTGTTGTGATGAAATTGTTTCAGATGTGTGAAGAATATGCAACTTTATACATTAAATTGGAATTTGGGACAAGGGTGCCACAATGTAGTATATTCCTCAGGCTTCCGCCCTATCTATATAGAAGAATGGCAACAAACGGCAATTGATTATACCCATATCAGAGAAAATTCTAGACTAAAAAACCATCCAATATAATTATTGCTGGATAGTTAAAAAAAAACCCAGAGCTCTTCTGTGGTACAATGAAGGCTCAAAGATGGAAATGGTACATCCATTACTTCATGGGTAACAGAAGGTACAAAATTTTCCCTCGACCCTTTCTGCACCAACTTTAGCACTGACCTGTTCTCAGTCGATAATTATTCATCCAGAAAGTGACAGGTAGGATTTATGATTATGACTGGGCAGACTATTATACATGGTTCTCACAAAATGGGCACCCATTAAAGGATGTGGATAGTAGTACATTCATATCCTTCTAAGACTGTAAAGGAAAAAGATGTGACCAGAACATCAGCCACCACCTCCCTGGTTCTTCGCCATGCCTGTTCGATATTCCTGTTGCTCCCTCCTTTCAGCCTGCAAAGGTCTAGGCTTTTAATAGTCTCAGGGTAACCATGGTCTTTGCCTTTAAGAAAAAAATATCCCCACCATCAACGACTTTATCAGGAAAAAATTTAATAAATTCCACCAAAACTGAGGCGGTGAATGGTGCAAAACACTTTTCTCTGGAACTAAGCATTTCTCACAGACTGAAACCTCACTTACTTCAGGATAAACTATGATATCTATTATTATTCTTAATCTAATTTGTGTTAATTTCAAATTTTTAATAAGAAGTATTTGTGATATACAATATAATTGTAAATAATAGAACTTAATAACTTGTAAAACTAGAATAGTTGGTCTTGTTATATAAAGAAAAGTTTAAAAAAAAAATTAGTTTTGTTAAATGACTAGGAAAGGATAAAAGGTTTCCCATCCCTTCAAATGATTTGACATAACTTATAAAGTGTATAACCTGAAAAATTCTCAATTTTTGTTTAAATTTGTTTTGCCAGTCCTTTTATATGACTAACAGTATGTGAATAATGAGATTCAAAAGTGAATTGATATAAAAATACAATAAATCCAAACTTGTACATTTTTCAAATAGTTTAAACATGTAAAAAAAGAGATTTTAAGTGTTGAACCAATACTGTTTAATAATGACATCTGTATTTTTACACCAGTAATCCCTGGTTAAGACAAGCACTGTTCCTGTAGGTGTAACGAGAGCATTGCTTCCTGAAAAGACACTGATCTGTTGAGGGACATGCTTTTGAGCGAAATCCCACAACTCGAAAATAACGTCTTCCGCTTGACCCGATGAGATCAGTATTAACGAAGGCTTCACGGGCATGATATTCTGCACTCCATATTTATCAATGAAAATATCTTGACCGGATATCACATTGATGACCATCACTTGTTCGAGGTTGGCTGCTGAAAATATAAAATAAGGATAGCAGAACACAGAGACCGGGTTGTCAAAATAAGCGACAGCGTCTGCATTTAAAAAATAGAGCCTCTGTATGAATTTGGCCTCGTACGCATCCCACATTTCCAATTGACTCACTCCACAGAGTACGACAAAAATGTATTTATTTGAAAAATGGACATGGGCGTCTACATCGTAGACGTGATTCACAGGTAAAAAGGTCTGTCGTTTTATGTCGTAACCGTAAATTTTTGTCTCTAACCCACTTACAGACCTGATCGAAAGGTATACCCTCGAAGGTAAGAGTTTAACATCGATGCTGCTTATATACAGCATATCATCTTCTATGATTGCATCGTCTAATTTTTTACCACTCTTCAAATCCCATATCATCACTGCGATTATGGTTTCCCATTCGACGCAGATAAAATATTCGCCGTCCTGAGTGAACACAGTTTTCGCCTGGACGTTCCTCAAGTTAAAAATGAATTTCTGTCTACTGTACCATTCCGTGAGGTCAGTGACAGAGTCCTCGGGCGGTTTGCAGTTTTCCTGATCGTAGAGGAATCTCTGTGTAAGAGTGAGCCGGTTCATATCACCTTTGACGAACACCTGTACGAGGTTGTCCTGAATGATGACAAGGAGCCCGTCGCAGAGGCGTGTGAATCTGATGGGCGTTTGCAGAGCACAGAACACCTCTTCTTGGATTGTCTCGTGGTCGATCAAGTCGTAGACCTGGAAGTAGTACTGCCTTCTGGCCGTGGTGAAGAAAAAGACAACGATGTCTTCGTCGCATTCCATCCTCAGGGCTTCGTTTTTAAGGCTGAACTTGATCTCGCGGAAGATCTCGTTCTTCCAGTTGTACATCAACCGCAACTTGTTGGACACGTTCGACTTCCATTTGCAGAGGTGCTCGTCTTCTGCGGCTTTCAAGACCGTCTCAAGGGAATCTTCACCGAAAGTGTTTATAAATGCTTGACGCCAGACTTTGTTTACATTCAAAACGTCGTTCCACCTTGAACAGGTGCAACTCAACGAAAACAAGGAATACACGTCTAAATAACAGCCTATTTCTTGGATCAACACGTCCGGCAGATGTGCCATATCCTCACTACCCTACAACGTAAACTGATTTCTCTTATTTATATTTCTGTATGTAATCCAAATTCGGACGAAGGAAGAAAACGAAAACGGAGTTGAGAATAAAAAAACTAAAATACAAAATAGAAGTAAAAACTCAAAAGTTACAAGCAGCCGTTGGCCGGAATTTTTCTTATCAAATAAAAACCTCGTCGTACTCAGCTTATGAAACGTGACGTAATAAAAACTGCACATGCGTCACAGTTAAATTGAGTATAAAATATTTTAAAATCGGTCAATCCTAACTTATTAGGATTAAAAATGGCCAAAATTGGGATACCGATATCAACAATATAATTTCTTTGATATCGGCTAGAGAAATTTATCTCCGGATAAATGATTCCAATATCGGCCCTTACAGAACATATCGAAGTCTTCCACGAGAAGGAATCCTTAGCCCTCTTTTGTATATTATCTATGTATATGATTTAGAACAAAATTTACCAAGCAATATAGGAATAACTCAAATAGCTGAGGATGACTGCCTCTACACCAAACAAAAATCCATCGAGTACTGTATAGAGGTATTAAATGAATGCGTTTACAAATTTCGGAATTGGGCCAACGAAAACAAGTTAGCTATTTGCGAATCTAAATCTATAATATGCCCTTTTACTAAACCGAGAAAGATTCCATTAGGAGAGATCATACTTGGAGATTTAACTTTTAAAGTAAATTATTCAGAAATCGTGAAATGCGGTCTGGTGTGATGTAGGTTTCAGAAAAACATTTTCCTTATCGTGCCAACGTTTCGATCTTTATTGAGATCATCTTCAGGGCTCAAGAGTGCCCTCTCTCAACACGAAACGCAATAATGGTGCAGTTACACAGAAGGCAAACACTTTGAGCCCTGATGATGATCTCAATAAAGATCGAAACGTTGGCACGATAAAGAAAATGTTTTTCTGAAACCTACATCACACCAGAACGCATCTCATGATTTCTGAATAATTATCGACTAATGGTCTCATATTAGATTTTACAAGTTTAAGTCTGAAGGTTGAAACCTGTTTAGACATAACTCTGTTTGATTTCTTATGTACAGGCAATTTTAATGTACAGTCCACAGGCCCTTGGTTGAACCTATAGGCGTGTGTGATTAATTGTCTGTACATAAGAAATTAAGTAGAGTTATGGCTAAACAGGTTTCTACTTTCAGTCTTAACTTGTAAAATTGTCTGAAAATCCCAAACCCGCCTTGAGGATATCAATAAATTTAACGAAACGACGGCGTACGTAAAACGTATTTTTCTTTTTTCTTTTACATTCCACACCTACCCGATCGAGCATCCCAATCTTCAGACGAATGTAATCATAACGGTCATCGTGTCAACATTTAACAGAAATGTTATGCAAAATCTCTTTAATAATCGAAATTTATATTGAATTATCGCGATCTTATCGACTTGTGCGGCTATCCGGAAAATGATTCTTAAATTTATATTCGATTGAAATCCCAGGCAACGGAATAGCGGTTATTGGAAGAATTTGCTGGTGGTCAAAACCTTAAATTATTTATCGTTTTATTTTGAAATCAAGACTTGTGTTTTCACATGCATTTTTTAAAGAGCTACTTAAAGACTATCTTTATAAACTTGCATTCAAATTGCAAAAAAGTAATGATCCTAATAAGTAATTAGAGCAATGAAGGGACAATTTTGACTTTACAGTCGTTATCAACATGGCGTATCTCTTTTAATAAATAAGATTTTTTTAAACGTTGACTTTCTTTTTAACTTTAAAATGTGGATATCATATTTGCAATTGTACGATAATTTTCTATAAGTTTCCCGAGTCGGATATACCTTTCAAGATTTCGAATTTATGCCGATCTCAATTTTCTTTCTGCTATTTTTCAAGCCCTTTAAAGGAATAGTCGTGGCACTTACGCCAAACTGTGTCCTTAATTATCCCGTGCTTTCGGAAGGGCGGGACTTAACCGCACCTTTTAGACGGTCGTTATCCACCTTCTGTTTAACAACGCTCTTTACTGGTTAGGTCGGTTTCTCGTAACAGCAGTTTGGAAAACCGACCATCCCACCATTGACTGTCAGCGAACGAATACTTAGCATTATACGTGTGGTCCTAAATATCCCGGCCAAACTTTGTGATCTTAAAATAATTGAAATTGTGATCACGAGTATATTATAATTATACCGTGTGCGTTTTTATAAAAGACATGGCCATTTATTTTTACGCTGCCTATTTTCATTGTAAAAGTAAGAATGGTTCCTATCAATTTTCAACCATTTTCAGAATGGTTCAATTTTTGCACGCGTAATCTGCTGGTGATATTAGAATTTTAATGAGTTGGCGTGCTAAACCGACTTGGCGCTCAGTTTTTTTTTCAAATGAAATGCCCTAGTTTTTTAAATACATTTTGAAAATCCTTTATATTAAAAAAAGAAAAAAGAAGCCAAAAACAAATATTCAAAGTTTATTCTGAGGACATTCAAGTTTTAAGTCAGAGCTCAATATTTCAGTATATCGTATAAGTGCCTGTTGTTGTTTAAAGTTAGGTTTAAGAAACATCATAAATTAAATTTTCATATTTTATTCAATTAAATTTAAACCCTTTATTTTAACTGGTCACACGATGAATAGAAATTATCGATTTCTGAAGAAAACTTTAATATGTAAAGAAGAAAATAATATTTTAGAAGGAAGGACTTTTGACATGTATAACAAAATAGAGCATTACATTTTTGTAAGCACCAAAGGATTGTAAGTGAAAAGTTATCTCGAAATCGTACTTACATTAGACCATTTATGTTTTAGTGGTCTAATTGACCATATTAATTATTTCAATTAATTATTCTTTTTGTGTAAGGTCTTGGTTGAGATGAAAAAGCTAGTGTCACGAGCGGGATTCGAACCCACGTACTTCGGCTCAAAACGCCGCTGCTCTAACCACTTGAGCTATCGCGATTTCGATCCACTCAGACATCAACTTCCCATCTCAACCTTTCGAATTTTCCCTTTTTTTAAATCATTTTTTGCCATTTTTCAAATGATGTGTAATCATGATTCGATTCTCAGCGACTTATGAAATGTCCTCGGCCAGCTGTTAGTGAAGTGATTACATCTTTTCTCATTTTATTAATTCATTTATGTTTTGGTGGTTTAATTGATCATATTAATTATTTCAATTCCTTATTTTTTTTTAAATGTAAACTCTTGGTTGAGATGTAAAAGCTAGTGTCACGAGCGGGATTGGAATATATCCCCCTCTATATTTTTGTAAATATTTCAGAAACATTTAACTTTTTCTAATAAAGTTGCGAAGTAAAGGATTCGGGTAATTAAATTTCTTTCAAAATGACCTTCGTGAAATGAAGAGGGTTAGGTTTTGTCAGCGGTTTTTGGATTCTGGTGCGGGCGTTACGACTTGAATTATTCGCACTGATGTTAGAATAAGTTAGGAATGCAAAAACGCATAAAACATGACATTTTTTATTTTACTTTTCATTTTATTTGTCGAGAATATTTTATTTTCCACGTTAAAAGCAAAAATCATAATTTTTTATGACTGTTTATAACAGCATATTTTAAACAAATATGTTTTTTAAGAAATTTAATTATGTCCAACATTTAATTCGTTAATCTTTTGAAAAGAGTTAATAGTTTCTAGCATATTGGTAAAAATGTAGAAAAAAACCAAGATATCATGAAATAATATGGTGTAATTTTTCGAACTAAGAAAATTTTTCCTACCATAAAAATTATTTAAATTTTGAGGCAGTGATGGAATAAATGTGGACAAATATAAATAACTCAAAAAATTCTTATTTATATTATTTACGTAGTTCCCATATCTATAATATTATTGGTTCAGCTTGGTTTTTTATATACTTCAAATGAATAATTTATTAATTTTTTTTTATTATACAAGCATAATAATAGTTTTGATCGAGTCAAACAATAAGTACAGCGTTTTAAGTGATATGATTCAATAGATTATTTTATGTATTCTCGGTTTGATAAATTTTAGTATAAAAACATTTAGGAAAATTTTATGGGATAATTTTGGTGTAAATTGTAAAAAACATTTCTGATCATATGGCTTACTTTTAATTATAAATACATATATACAAGTGATACGCTCGTCAAGAGCTTTTAATTACTTATTTAATCGTGGTCAGAACAATGTACAGTCAGGTAATTTATTAATTAAGAGTTTAGTTTAAGGTTAATTAGTGTAGAAAACAAGGGTAATAACGCACGGAAATAACGACGAAACGATCATTAAGGCGCAATATTTGAATGAGAATTTTTTTTAGTGTAGCTAATTACGTTACAAAACTTTGCCTAACAGAGTTTGAAGACAAGCACAATTTTGATGTTTGTCGATTAATTTAGTCAATAAAATAGTGATTGAAAATATACAACAAAGCTAATATACTAAATATCGCCGTAACAACATCGAACGGAACAACTATATATATAATAATTCATTTTAAGTCTTTTGAACACATCTTGCCGATAACACCCCCGATTTTCAAAAGACTCTTGATTGTCTTTTGTTGTAAGCTTTTACGATAAACTCGACGGTTCGTTTGCTTAGAAAGACTTCTTTTAAAGCATACGCGTCGTGATAAGTCCTAAGGCGATCGCCGCGACTTGGAAGAATAGCGAAGACTTCTCGCAAGAACCAGACGCGACGCTCCGTTCCCTTGTCCTGAAAGACTGGATGGGCGAGTAGTCGCTGAGTCCGGCTGCGTTCCTGGCCGCCACTCTGTACACGTACTCCGTGTTTTCCTGGAGGTTGACTATCGCGTAAGGTGTACCGTTTCCTGAAATAAAAACAATTAAAATTGTTATATTTCCGCCGGATGCCGCTGAGACTCACTCGTGAAAACGTCTTGGTAGTCGCCTTCTTCGATGTTGCTTCTTAGAGACCTCTTGATAAATTGTATCCTGTATCCGATTACGTGATCCTTACCGTAGGCGTGTAAACGAAAGTGGGCCGATGTGGCGCCGACTGCTGCCACTGTCACGTGGCGTGGTTCAGAAGGTTTAAAGCCCTGTTTAAGATGGAAAATCTGCAAATACACAAAATTTTTCTCTCTTTAGTCGTTAATTTGAACTCACTCTAGCAATGAGCATTAAATCTATACTTGTGTATCACAAATATGATCATAATCAGCATTAAAAATTATATTTTTTGCAATTAATTACTGTTTTTATCTAAGGTTTTGGGTTGGGATGAAAAATTAGTGTCACCAGCGGGAGTTGAACCCACGACCTTCGGTACGCTGCTGCTCTAACTATCTGGGTTATCGTGACTTCGATCCCCTCGGACACCAACTCCTCAACCTCATATCTTCCTAAAACCGTTCGAATATTCCCTTTTGTGGCCATATTTTCAGTTTTTGAATAGTGTCTGAGAGGATCGAAGTCACGATAGCTCAAGTGGTTAGAACAGTTGCGTATTGAGCCCAAGGTCGTGGGTTCGAATCCCGCTCGTGACGCTAATTTTTCATCTCAACCAAAAACCTTACATAAAAAAGAATAATTAATATGATCAATTAATTAAAACTAAGCAAATATGGATCAAATATTTTTTTTTATTAAAAACCCCGACGGATAAGGCCAGTTGGAAAGCAAACTGTTTCGTCAAAAATACCTTTCAGTATAAAAAATTCTTATTTTAAGCATTCAACTTCGATTTCATACTTTTCACTCGTTTTCATAATTTTTTCAATCCTCTGTACAAACTTCATCCTACAAAGACTCACGATTTTTTGGAGATTCGATGTCCTTTTGGTAGAACTCCATCATCAATGATTGAATATCAATGAAGCCTTTAGTTCCAACTGATTTTTGCTTTATATTATTTGAAAATATTTTCACTTACAATATAAATATCTTCAACCTCTTCCTCAGAAATAGTTTTAGAGTTATAAATATACGCATTTTTACAAATCTGTGTACTAATATAACTTAATATTATAACTTACATATAATGAAAAGCAAAGAAACTAGCTAACGTGAGAATGTACTCTGTTTTCTGCGTTGATCCTTTTCTCTAAACGCGCGAAAACATTATGCGAATATCGGCCAAGGAAAGACAACCAACCACTTCGTTGGCTGTGATTTGCTTAGAACGGGAGGTGAATCAGAGGAGCCAATGAAGCAGTTGGGTTTGATCGTGGTTCGGACTTCTGGCGATAACATCAAAAGGGTTGAGGTTGTTGACTGTAATTCCAATGGCTCCATCCAACCCCTTGGTTTGATGAGGATGAGCCAAGGATGATCAACGAGATATTCCTTATCTTTCGTACGCGCCTTAAAAAAAATCTCAGCGCTACCCTATCGACTTTAAACATGGACTTTGTTTTGCTCGTGCCACGAGACTTGCGTTAGAGGCGTCGGTGATAGATACGGTTCAGGCGTTGACACGGCGCTAATCACTGAAAGGTAAAAAACTACTGTTGTTCACGAGGATAGAAGAAACTACTGGTACAAACATTAACGAACCACTATGGTTCTAGAAAACAGCCAAGTATTTTTCAAGCAGAAATGCAGAAAATTATCTGCACATGAAAACCACCAAAAAAGCATGGAAGCTATCAAAATATTATTCTATCTGACAGCCAGGCAATCTACTTTGAATTGTGTAAACACATCTTCACCATTGGAACGCAACGACAAAATATTTCTTATCTGGGCCTCTTTTCTTGAAGACAAAGATATCGAGAGCAATAAAGCGGCGAAGGAGATCGCCACATCATAAATCATTGGATCAGAAACCTGTGAAGTAACCGAGGATTACCTTGATAAAAAAAACGACTGACTGAGAAAATAAAGACCACTGGAGGAAACAACCAGGAAACAATCCAAAAACTTATAACCATGTCTAAACACATCTATTCAACAAAAATTGCCATGCCTAGCAAAGATGGGGAAATTAGCGAAAGTTTGAGTCGTTTCTGTAAAGAAAATGTAGAAACAACAGAACATATTCTGTGCTTTTGTGAAGTTCTTGTAAATGATGAGATAATATAGTGTCCTTTTTTGAGACCCGGCTGAATTTCTGTTGAACCAATGACGCCTAAAAAAATAGGTGTTTAATATTTTTTAATCTAGTTTCAAATGTTTACCCTTGTTTGGAGAAAAATTATACAGAGTACATCAGGCCCAGTTCAACTTCAAAATTTCATCCCAATATACTTCTGACACGTCATTTTAAAGTATTTTTTTCGCTGACAACAATGGTGCAATCGGCTTTTGAATGGGCAAAAAAAGACAAAGTTATGGCAAAAAGTTTGAAAAAAACGCATTTCGTTTGTTTCTTTGTTAATTCCAATAATTTGCATCTTCACTAAAGTAAACATTGCCTTTATTGTTTAAAATCTATCATTGTTTGTCAAACTTGCGTTATGAGAGCAAATCTTAATTTCTGGAAGTAAATAAATTGCACAATATTATCTATTCGTTACACTCAGCATTCCATTCAAAATGAACGTAAGAGCACATTTTTGCGATCAACAGCCAGTTGATATGTACGACTGTTTTATTGATGTTGGTGGTATTGTGTGTCGTGCAGTCGAGTTGTACTCCCAGAAATTTCCTCACCGCCCCAGAGTAAACCATAAAACGTTTATTCGTAAAAATTATTTCAAATGATGTTTCAGGATGTATAAGGTCGTGTTTAAAATTTTGAAGTTGAAATGGGCCTGAGGTACCCTGTATAATTTTTCTCAAAAAAAAGGTAAAAATTTGAACCTGGATTAAAAAATATTAAACCCGTATTTTTTGTTGATAGTGTCATTGGTTCAAGAGAAATTCAGCCGGGCCATCTAAAAAAGACACCCTTTATATGGAATCTTCAAATAAACAGATTGGCAGTTTTTTGCTTGTATTCTAAGATCATGAAATCAAAATCAAGCAAGGATTGCAAATCGAAAATCGACGCGAGCTCTGTAAAAGTGTTGACGACAAGTCTGGAGAGTATGGCGGATGTGGCCAAAGCTTCCCAGTTAATATTTTTAAATTTATCCTTCGCAATTTTTGCGGTGTGCAAGCGAGCATTAAACTAAAATAACAACGGCCAATTATTGATCAAAATTTTAAATTACATCGGTTCATGATACAGTAGGTCCCCCCTGTGATGGTTTGACCTAGGGGTAAAAGCGCATAGTGCCCAACACCTTCGGCGGCCAGAAATGCCTTTTTTCCGATGGTGGTTCGGATTTCTAGAGAAAGCCATGGACAACCCTCTAATATTATTCTACAGGGCCCAATTTCCTATTCGAAGAACTAGCTTTTTTTGCGGGATGCTAAGGAAGTGGTTAAATCTGAATTTTAATTTTCCCAATAAATGATTGATTGAAAGATTGATTGATATGATACTTGCCTTCCAAGCGGATCCAAACTCGTTTTTCGCGAAGCACTCGTAGTCGCCCAGGACACTGCTGTCCAACATCCTGACCTGCGGGAGAAAAACAGTTTACTCTTGTCCAAGCCGGGAAAAGGATTTCATACATTACCTGCAAAACGGAATACTTCGTGTGGGTAATAACACTAGTCCAATTCGGATTGAGTGTTTTATTGTTTCTCGTCCAGAAATAATCGGCGAAAGGGTTGGCTATCGCGTAGCACGTTATGTTGGCAACTCCGCCGAAGTAACCGAAGACGATCTCTGTCTTAATTTTTTCTTCTTCTACTTCGGTAACGTTCTTTGCTTTGCTTGATTTACTTTTCTTTTCGCTCGGCCACTTCGGCATATCTTCAACAAACAAATAATCAAAAAAGTTAGAATTTTCGGTAAAAATGTAGGAGACATGATCTATCTTATCCACAAACCCCTCCATATCGGTACTCTTTTTTAAATTTAATAGTTATTTTAAATTCACTTTTCCACATCCCAAATGTATTTGTTAAATGTAAACATTGTTTGTAAATCCCAAGCCCTGAAGATGATCTCAATAAAAGATCGAAACGTTGGCACGATAAAGAAAATGTTTTTCTGAAACCTACATCACACCCGACCGCATCTCACGATATATGAATAACTAAAAATTAATTATAAAAATTGGTTCATAACATTCAGAGAAAAATGGACCTTTTGCGTTGAGTGTCGTAGTATTTTCGTTTTACTTTTGCATCTTTTTTTGGGGGGGTTTTTCTTGAGATGGATCTCAAAACTAATTTCGGAAGTGGGGAAAAAAGTATTTTCCGGAACCCATTCTTTTTAGCAAAGCAAACGCCAAAAGTAAAATTTAAGGATATATATAGCAGAACGCTGGCAGTGAACCACCACATAAATAGAGCTCTGAAGCGTTTTTTAAAATATACATTATATATAATCAAATTATAGAGATTTTTATTTTCATATTGTATACATTTGCTTCATTTTCGAAAAATATTTATGGTTTTTTACCTAATTTTTTAAAAATATTTCTACGAAATTAAGGATGTGTTGTTCTAAGGAAAAACATAAAATATGAAAATGACCTGCTGATAATGATGGAAATGTTGATACTCCTTACATTCACTTCTTATGAATCAATGAAAGCTAAATTAAATATTTAAAAAAATCATCCAGTGTTCAGAAAATTGTTTTGAAAACACACTTAAGTGTAGAAAAGTCTGAAAATTGTTTTTACTCTAATCTATTCAGTTAATGGTTTTTTGATTTTTCAGAGCAATAAAATCTTTCTTAGGTCTACAGTAATTGATCCTGGACAGTACAGAATAACAGAAACCAAGTCAAACAAAACTTGATATTAATGTCACTTACGTTTAACGATCAAGTTGATCTTCTTTTTCAACATATTGCTGGACTTCTGCGTGTACTGGAATGCACGACATTCATACTCTCCTTCGTTTTCGAGGGTGACTTTAGACATGTGAAGCCCCGATGGCATAACTCTCATTTTTTCGCCGTCTGAAACTAAAATTTTCAATCGAGATAAAAGTTGTTAAAACAAACGCTCAAATATTCAATAATCATCAACAAAAATGGTAATTCAAATTTAAATATATTTGTGCTCTTGTGAAGCTTTTTAGTTAATTATAACGAAAACCTTTCATGTCTAGTTAAACGACCCTTTAATGGACAGCTACGTAGTATTAGACAGGAAATATTGATAAGTTGAGATATTGCCCTGATGTGTATAAATTGACTTGAGGTGTTGTGAACCGTTAAGATGAAAACACTGGACATTAACTTGGCCATTGACAATTTAGATAGATTGTTTTCCAACTTTCTGGAGTAGAAGCTGAGATACACGGAATGACACTGTTCCATCGACCACCCATCAACTTTCCAATGATACACCCAAAACTGCAATTATCACTGAATATAACAAGGGTTTAACTAGAGTAAAAAAAGAGAATAATCCTGTTTGCAAAATTTAACAATGGACAAGAAGAATGACTAAAATTCTATTTAATTTACCAACATTTAAACGCAATTAAATTAAATTTAAAGAATTTGTAAATGTTGGCTAAGATTATTAACAATTTTTTAATTGTAACTTGAAGGTTTAATTTAATAGTCAAGTAGCTGTTTATTATTTATCAGCAATTTTAGTCGTTTTTAATTGACGTTTCAACAAATATTAGTAAATCAATAATAATGATGCAACATTATACAGTAAAAAACTTATTAAATTAACTCTAAAAGCGTATATAGATAAAACTATTAAATAATGAAATATTTATTTAAAAACAGAAAAAGTTTCTCTCAATTCAGGGTTCGACCATAATGCTAAACCATCACGGAGGTTATGCAAATCTGAAGACACCTTACGCCGTAAAGTTTTTTTCTATTAAATTATTCTCTCTTTTACTCTATCACTCATTCTCGCTTACTATCTCTCTATCTTTCTCACGCACTCTGTTTTACTGTCTCTCATCTTATTACTTTTCTTATACTCTCTCACACACACATTCATAATTTACTACGCACACTGGTTGTATTCCTATCTCACTCAAACTCTTTCACCTCACTTCTTTTTGTTCCACCCTCCTTCGCTCTTAATCTTTCTCTCTCTCTTTGGAACACTGGTTTTGTAGTGTATTTAGTAATCGCATGGTAGTGTCACAAAGCGATAAATCCCGAATGTAATAGCATGCATAAAAATCAAGGTGACTCACAAGGCGACACTGGCTCTAACTGGGCATGGAAGAAACCGGTCTTACTTACCTCGCTTCAGAATTATCGTCGACCAAGATTGCCCGTACGGTGGTGGCGAACAAACATGAAGACACATTATAATATATTGCTGCAACCCTTTTGAACGATAACGGGCAGATATTTTCAAAAAGATCTTGTAAAAGGAGGAACAAGGCCATTGAAAGAAAAGGAAATATTCAGCTTATACCATACTCACTTTTTAACCCTGTAATATTTCGTGGTCCTATTGGCCAAATAACTTCTTTCAATTAATTAATCTTTAAGTAAGGTATTGGTTGAGATAAAAAAAGTCAGTGTCAGGAGCGGGATTCGAATCGACGACCTTCGGCTAGATACGATAGAAAGTTGCTCTACCACTTGAGCTATCGTGACTTCGGTCCACTCGGACACTAACTTCCCATCTCAACCCCACCTTTTGAATTTTCCCTCCTTTATGCCATTTTTCAAATGTCGTTTAGTCAGGATTCGATTCTCGGCAACAAATGAAATGTCCACGGAGAGCTTTAGTGAAAATTATTAACCCATTTTATTTCGTGGTCCGATTGACCAAATAACTTCTTTTAATTAATTAATCTTTATGGAAGGTATTGATTGAAATGAAAAAGTTAGTGTCATTTTTTAACATTTATCAATATTTCAATCTGTCGAATTTGTAAATATTATAGAATTATGTATGTACAAACACTGTTATCTTTATCTGGGATCAGGTAGAAATGTGTGTGGCTCAATGGAAGGGGAAATGTTGTTTGAAAATCTTTCGTTTTCCTTATTTTTCTTACTTGTCTTACTTAACCCATAGTTTCCAGCTTTCTGTCTCTCTACCACACTCTCTCCCTCTCTTCTCTCGCTCTCTCTCTCTCTCTCTCTCTCTCTCTCTCTCTCTCTCTCTCTCTCTCTGTATCATGTACTCACTCTTATGAATCAGCGTTTCTCTTCCTAACTACTGGAAGTATACCACATTCTCACTCTCTCACTCTCTCTCTCTCTCTCTCTCTCTCTCTCTCTCTCTCTCTCTCACCCTCCTTTTTGCTTTTGAAAATACTTAAGTTCTACACCTTTAAAAACAAACCAAAACGATATACGTAGCCATATAGCAAAAATAAACAAGCAAAATCTTACAGTTTCTCCATCGCATAAATAATAACTAAAATATTAATCTTTTAAAATGTAAATATCTTAGATATTTGCAAAGGAGCTTGATTAAAAGAGAAATCTAATGTGTCATATGCGAGGTTTTCCCTCCATTAGCGCAAGGAAAACAAATGTTTGGTTTGCTTATATGTAGCCCATTTGGCTTACTTGAATATGTTTGCTCTATGACAATCGTGTTGCATAATAAAACATAATTAACTTTTAATCAAAAAGTAGAATATGAGCAGGTAAGAAGTTCACAACAGGTGGCCTAAAAGTTTATTGCATGTCCTTTATAAAATTAATTCTTCGCTAATGTTTACACGTTTCATAATTTAAACAGAGACGGAAACCTCATAATTGTATTGGTGAGGAAAAAAAGGATATAAAGTTCTAGAATAAAAATGATTATTTAATACTTTTTAAAAGGATAGTTCCTACTCACAGTAAGTGTGTCACTTTGGCAATTCGTGTCGAGAGACGTGGTTGTGGAGGTCCTTCAGCCTGATGATGAGCTAAAAGGCTCGAAATCCGGATCGTTGCAAAACAACTTACTGTGAGTAGGAACTATCCTTTTAAAAAGTATTGAACACCACACTCACTCCATCATTTATCATTTCTATAAAAATGATTATTTTTGGAAGTACGTGAATTGTTTTCAAATCACATTTAAAAATTTTTTTTAACTTCAATTATTTAATATTTAATAATAATTTCATTAATGGTTTCTTAAATATTAATCATGAAACAACGCAATGAAATTATTCTAAGAACAATTCAGTTCTATGTGCTATGTCATTGTTGAAAAAAAAAATGGCAGAAGTAGAGTACCTAGATATTTTGTAATAGCAGGAATAAAAAACAATCACCGCACTTAAGAGTTTAAATTGGTCTGCGGTGTAGTTGTAGAACTAAAATGTAAGTTGAGCCCATAAAACCGCTCTATTCTGTGCCAGTGCAAAATTGAAATTTTTTTTGTAGGTAAAAAAATTAAACTGACAAAAGAAAATATTTAGGTTTTTTTCGATTTGATAAAGGTAAAAATTGTTATTTTGAATAATTAATTCTCAACTTACCATTAACTTTTTCATTATTGAAATACCATTGAATGTAAGGCTGAGGATCCCCTGTCACTTCGCAGCGAACGATCGTGCTTTTGCCCTCCAGCGCTATTTGCTGAGACACATTCCCCTGGAATTCGATAGGTTCTGAAACAGACAGTAAAAAAATAATAAGTAGAACAGATCGAAAACCATTAGTGATTTGTCTGAAAATGAACATCATCAACATTATGGCCCTTTCGAATTCGTTCAGTCAATACTAAGAGCACGCTAAAAAGCAGCTATTCCTTATTGACCCCTTCCTAAAGCAGGTAATGTACTTCCGCTTAAGTGCTTTCCGCTGTCGCTCCTTTCGAATTACAGTTGGAAATAACAACCTCGGTTTTTCTTTTTTATCATAGCCTAAGCAGAATTCGAGAGAATGGCGCTTATTGTTTACGGCCTTTTGCCGCACGAACGTCCAAGCCGGTTTTTATTTATTGTTAATAAATGTAACAGTCCGGATCCCACGATAATATATTACGTCTTTACAGTTTTTTATTACGCCCTGTCTTCCATGCAGTGTTTACATTTACAGCATAAAAAATTGGAAAATATCTTTGAAATGTTAGTACGATCTTTGGTGAAAATAAATGTTCAGCATAGTTAATTATAAAAACTTTTACTTAAATATGCACAAAATTAATCGAACTAAAATAAGCGAATAACATGAATAGAGTAGTGTAGGCGTTGACACGGCCCCCATCAATGAAAGGTAAAGGTCCCTGGTTCGAATCCTGCGGCGCTGCATTCGAATTCGACATACTAACAAAAGAGAGAGAGAGAGAGAGAGAGAGAGAGAGAGAGAGAGAGAGAGAGAGAAAGAGAGAGAGAGTGTGAGTGGTTTGAGTGGTTTATTTACAATTACACCGAGGAATATCGAGTACTCTGGGTAACGAACTTTATAACGAAATTTATTAGAGTTCATAGATAGACTCATCCCAAATTACGCCGAGAAATATCAAGTACTTTGGAGTTGTGTGAATGTAATTTATTAGCATGAATGTCTTATCCCTAACTATCCTAAAGAATATCGAATATAGTGGGGTGGTGTGAAAGCTAATCAGTCTTTTACGTTTTTCATTCATTTACTTCTCAAACAAAGTGAATCTACAAGAGCAGTAGTAAAAAAAAAGCACATAATAACAAAAAGAAAACAATTGAGTAATTAAACAATAATAACAAAAACACATGGCAGGTTCCTGGCATGTATACGTTTTAATTGGACTTTAATTGAATGAAAGGAATCGTGAATCTATTTCAATGGAATAATGACTCAGCAAACTATCCTCGGTAAGGGGAGTTTAGTCCATATTCTGTTTTGCAATGTGTGAGAAAGAAAAAAAAATTGGTTCCTTAGTGGTCGCTGAGGCAAACATAGTGATAAATATAAGTTTTGGATATCAAGGGTCCCATTCCACGATTTCCCACCCCAAATGAGATCAGCTAAGTGACACTAGACCAAGCCAGTTCAATCTTTCTTCTAGACAAAATCTGAAGGCAATTATCCTGGTTGCTTTCTTTTGTATTTTTTCTAAAGCCTAGTAAGCACTGGGATTCTTTGAGTCGATTCATGTTGCGGGGCAGAGTCGGGGCTGCGTCGCAACAATGAATCTACGCAGCCCCGACTCTGCTCCGCGACAAAGAATCGTGTCCAGACCATGATTCAGTTCACATTCATCCGTGCCTGTGAAAATGACAGGGGAACTAGCTCATAAAGAAATTTCCCTTGCTCTTTTTTGCATTGTACGTAGTGAATCCAATCGGAGGTGCATTGAAAAACGCCCAAAAAGATGGTGGGTTCGACAAATATTTCACGGCGGGAATCAGCACGGGAAAAATCTTTTGGACATGAAAAGTTGCGATGAAATAATGGCCCAGGGTTCAGAAATGTTTTGAGAATGTCCCTGATCGATTTCGAAATTATTTTAATGAAAGTTGGTGGTCAAATTTCTAAGAAAGATACCAACATTCGGGAATCCATCTCTCCGGCCAGCAGATTAGCTGCCACTCTTTGGTTCCTAGCGAGTGGAGACTGGAATACTAGCCTCATGTACGTACACCTTCAGGATTTATATCATCCTGAATCAATTTTTGATTCAGTTGACGTTGTAGTGTTTTCTTGAAGATTTTGACAGTGTCTTGAATAAAGGTATGTTGTGGAGTACTGAGTTGACATTACAGTTTTTTCGAAGACATGCATTCCCATCGGTGTTTGTGCGGTAACCCCTACGTCCTCTGTGTTGGTGACTCGAGCTACATGCGGTTGATGTGATGCATTAACACGAATTTGTCAACAAAAATGGGACCGAGCATCTAGAAGAATTTACTTAGTGTCCTTAGTGCAGTGAAAGATCGATTCCACTGGGATGGATGTCGATTCCAGCCATTGCCATAACTGGTTTTCTTTGAAAATGCTGTGACGCACGCGAGGTACTGAAGCAAAGCGTTCTCCTCGTCTCCTCCACACACGGTTCCGGTCATGTGATTGACAAACCAAACCGGAACTGATTTGCAAAGAGAAACCCCCCCCCCATTGTTCAAGTTTGATGCTTATTAGCATATAGTGCCCTCAATGCCTGTAGTACAAAACCTAATAGGACATTAAGAGACTAGGGTTTTCTCACAAAACCATCTGATGACTATTTTTGAACAGCTTACCCTTACATTTTGGAGTTGACTACCTACGAAGGAAGCCGTTAAATGACGGTTCCGTAGTACGGTAAGAAGAATAAAACGATCGTGTCTAGCCGTAGTACATCGCCTTCTTGTACTAAATAAACTTCTACAAAACTGCTGTAGACCATCGTGGACACTCAGGAGTCTTGAGCAATGTTACGGACGACTGGTCGTTGGCCGAAGTATCAACCGGGGTGATCTTCACGAAAAAATTTAAGAAAAAATTAATAATAATTGTTTTGCTCAAATTTATTGTTTAATCAAAGAAACCAATTTAAAAACCAATTAACTAATTAACTCGCTCGACAAGTTGGATCTGGAGAGGAAAAAATTGAACTTTCATTGTTTTAATATAAATACTGTAAAAAGATTAGTAACACTACAAAGATAAACAAGCAATTAATAATGTTGTGTGTACGTTTATTTCAACCTTTAATCTTTATTAGAATGAAATTGAATAGAAATAACCTGTTATTATGGAAAATAAACAAATAAATACAAGTTCCCTGTTTGTTTTGTCGTTAAGTGTATAATATAAAATAATTGCCAGTAAATTTACATAAAATATGAGGGCAGGATTCTCAATTTTACATTTTTATTTGTTGTATGCTTCCAAGATAATCCATTTTTAGGCAACATAATAGTCAGTTATGTTATGAACACCGAAATGACACACAATAAAATGATTGTAATGACAATATTGACGTATTTACAAAGATTATTTTTACAAATTAAAATAAATATATTAACATAGCCTGTGCATTATCTTAGCATGAATTCATTATAATTTAATTTAAAAATATCACTAGGTATTTTGATCATGAACTCATTACGATTTCAATATTGGAATATTGTTCATCGCTATGTATCTTAGTAAATTTGGTCTCATAGTAACAACACACTTGGTGGATATTCGTTGTTTATGCAGATCTATAAAAAACATCATCTGTGGAAAATCAGGGCCGAAAGAAATACTTCGTACAAAACAAAGATACAAAAGAGAAAACATCTTGTGTACAAAACATCTGTAGAAACAGATAATTTATTTTTCCTGCAGTCATTAATTGACTAGAAAAATAGAATTTTTGGTGTCAATGTATTTCTGTTTTTAAACAAATAACTTGTACGCAACGTTCAAACTTTTGATGAAGTGATGAGGATAAAATACGACTTTCGTTCAAATGATGTTACTGTTAAGTTATCCAAGCTACTTAGAGAATGAAAGCAACATCTGCATGATCAAGTACTTGTTCTTGTTCATCTCTTCATCAGTTTAATTTATTTCTACACGCTTTTATCACCAGTTTCAAACAAGACCACCATCCCGGGAATGGGACTTGACAGTGTGATTTATAGGGGAGTGCGGGAGTTTCGAAGTCACCACAGCGTATTTCGAGAGCACACGTCTAAAACGTTAAGTTACTTCGCGTATTAAGACTTAAACCAAGAACTTAAGGCTTCCAAAACCCCAAACAGTCTGGAATTTACGGGCAAATTGCGGTCAACTAGATCAACACATTGCGGATATTAACATAGACTGAACTCGAATCAATAATTTTACAATTTACATTAATTTTGACAAGTTAATAAATTGTATTATATTTTTATGTAGATTATTTAATAAAAAAATGCTAGGGCAATAGCATTCTCGATTTAATTTTTTAAAAGCATAATAAAATTGTAGAACAAAGAGTGAACTAGTAAACGGTTGTAATACAATATTACACAAAAATTAAATTTTGTTTTTAACGACCAGTAAAAACATTAAAAAAAAACAGTTTCTCGCTGATGATGACGGATTTCATTAACTCAAAACACCCGTCAGTAAAGTCGGACCCAATAAATGACTATGCCGGTTCTGCGATCACAAAATCAATTGTATATCATCCAATAAAAGGGTTTTCAAACGCAATTAAAAATTATTGCAATATTGCCGCAAAAATTAAAAAAACCGAAACTTTTTCGGACAGCGGACGAATATAAACGATTCCGGTCGAAATTGTGATAGTTAACCGACTGGTGGAAAATAAGCCAACGACAAACAAACCCCCAAAAATATCAAAACAGAGGTCAAAACAAATCCTTAAACTTAGGAGACCTATGAAATTCTCGTTTGGCTACCAGCCAAACCGCTTTTAACATCTCGCTAAAGAAAATATGACTTTTTTCGTCTATGGACACCCTTTGTGGACAAAGAAGCGGACAAAAGGGTCGATCCTCCCCTCGTGTGTGTGTGATATCGTGAATGTTTAAAGATATTTCATAAATATTATTCGCCCTGTTTTGCATCTTTGAGAAGTTCAGTTTGTACTAGAATATAAAAACTTTTTTTTGCCTTACTATTTCAGTATTGGCTAATATAAAAACTTTGAATATTACAAGTGGAGTTTTGCCGATTTTGCATAAAAAACGCATAAAACCAAACATAA